AAATGTAAATTTCTTAATTTTTGTGTTATGATCCAAAACATCATATATTAAGTAATGGAGGGAGTAAAATTTATCAATAAATAAATATAATTTGATTGTATATACTATCCAATTTATAATAATATTTATGTAGCTTATAATATTACTAATTTAAAATTTATAAATTTGTATTTTTGTAACAATTTTTAAAAACATTATTATGTAACATTACTAATTTATATATTTTATTTTATTTCTAAATTTAAAATATATAAAAAGTAAATTAAATTGGACCTACATAATACATAAACAAATTTTTGGATATTGTTAAAAGTATATTACATAATTTTATTTTTTTCTTAAAAATGAATTAAATAAATTATATTCTATGATAATTAAATTTTGAATCAAATAATTTTTGAAACTATATCTTGAAAAGATTCTATAAGATTTTTTAAAGATTTTGTTAGACTTGTCTTAAAATTATTTATTTGTATTTCAAATAAAAATTAAAGATATGAAAAGATATTATAATGATGTTATGTTATATAAAATTTTTAAGGGTGATCCAAACTTAAAAATCACACATGAAGTGAGGCATGACTTCTCTTTTAATATAATAGATATGTTACGTACTTGATCGCCACATGCGAGCTACGTAGACCATACGATAATCTATCTTTAAAAAAATAAAAGATATCATCTCAATGTTTTCTTGGCTAAATAACTCTGAACTTCTTGTAACACGTTCCGGTCTTTCTTTCTTTCTTGTCAATTCAAATCGAAAGATTCGATGGATTATTTTACCCAAAAAAAAAGATTGGATTGATGAAAACTTTGAAACGAAATTCGACATAGCCGCCATTAATTTTTTTTCCTGAAGCTTATGGCAAAGAAAAAGAGAATAACATTGGAAACACATAGAAAAATAAATTCTTCAACCGCAAACAATTTTTACAACGGCAAGGAACAGTGAAGAGGTGAGAAAAAACAGAAAAAAAGAAGCACATTACAGATCAAATTAGCAATACTTTAAGCCCCTACGAAGAGAACTCAAAAACAGAACACAAAAAATATCAAAAGGTCATTGTGTAGTTTAGAATTTTGCTTCTAATGGTGATAAAAAGAACTTCTCTTGTGGTCTTTCTTGGACTTCACGAAGCCTAACCCTAATCTCTCCCTCCACCAACCACTAGACCCTTTTGATTTGCTTCTCGGTGAATCACTGTCTTCTTCACTGAGTTCCTCCCTCAAAGTTGACATTCTCTTCGTCGTGTTGGCTTCTTCTTTGAGAGGTAAGATCATGCCATCAAAGAAGATTTCATCTGCTGTGATCATGGAGAAGTTGTTGACACCAAACTCAAAATCATCTGAAGACACCGGTGCCTCCTTGTACTTGACCATGTCGTTCTTAGTAGCTGCAAACCCGCTGGAAAACGAGATTCTTGGCTCTGCATATCCACCGTACTGATGATGTTGCTTCATGTTCGAACACTCCATTTTTATACGTCTCTTTTTATTGATGTATCTTTGTTTGGTGTTCTACTTTATTTGCTGCAGTCTCTAGTACATTGTCTGTATTTATATGATACATGTTCGATTCATGTACTTCCTTTTCATACAAATATAATAGGGATATATAATATTTTATCATCGTGTATGAAGTCACACATACACAAAGGGACGAAAGTACTGTCTCTTGGAGGTTTAGAGATCTAAGATTAGATTCTTAATTGATTTAAGTTATCTTCAATAATAACTTAAATCCATTTTAGGGGTCAACAGTGGGGAAAGTTAATGGATTAAAGTTAATATATAGTCTCTTGATACATAAGAAGAGTCATTTATGATAACGAAAAAACAATACTACTTCTAGTTAATTGTTGCAAGATGAAACCCTAAATTAACGCAAAGGGATGTTTTAAGCACATGTACGTTTTAATTTCATGCACATGCATTTCCAGTAAAAGATTATCATGCAATTTCTAAGAAACTTCCCAATCTCAGTTGTTTTATGATTCGAATAGAAAATGGGGATAAATATATATAGTTTTACTTTGATAGCTATCCAAAGTCTCCAAAGGTCACACATAAATTATTTGTTTAAAAGGTTAAAATATTTTGAATAGGGATATCCTTATAAGTTAAATCAAATAAACTGGAGTTTAAATCAAAAGACCCATGTGATAATGATAGCTGTTGATTGGCTAATGCACACAGTAATTACTAATCTGAGTTCCCACGCAACTGGGTTTCCGACACATTAACAGTATTTACACACACACACAAACACACGTTCCTACTCAATCCTCACTCCAACAACCAAGAAATCTTATTTTTGAATTACAAAAACAAACAAACAAAAAAAATACTATGATTAACCGTACATTTCTGGTTGTATGAATTAATCAAGTTTATTCCTTATCTCGAGTAAATGAAGTAGATAGCTATGAAGTAAAGCCTAGGTACGTAGTTAATTTGATATACGTAATAGCAATACTAATATCTTAAGTATTTATCTTATATGCCGTCTGCTTGTATATATATTAATGTATATATATGAGAGTGTGTCTCTCCTATGGTCTCCCATATAGTGAACAAAAGTTGTCTATTGCAGTTGCAGTTCACAAAATTTTGAGAAACTTTTGTCTTGTTGTGATGATTAAATTAAGCACCAAACGCATTATTATAACGTACCAAAAACAGAGGCTCGACGTACAAGGTCGGATCTTGGATTTCACTTGTTCTTGTGTGATATTTGAAATAAATAATAAAAGAAAAGAAGAAGGTTCGATGAACTTCGTGTTGCTTTCGACTTCCACTTCACTAAACCCAATAGATTTAAGTAGACACTGTCGGTGTTTTCTTCGTACGAAGCAAGCGATGATTCCAGTTACGGATGGGTCATGCATGGCTGGATGGGCAAAAGATATCCGTTAGCATCCAGCTCATTTTTTTTGGGAGGGGGTGGGATTTAATATTAGTTTTTAAAAGAGAATTTAAATGTGGAGTTTATCGATCTTCTTATACGGCCCGTACTTGAGATATTAGTACATTTGGTGAACATCGATTATCTAAATGGAATTTTATTGTTTAGAAGGCGTTAATAATTCTATATTTCTATGAAATGTCTATCCATATGTATTGTCATTTTGGTTGTTCTGGCTTTATGATTGATGTCCGTTTTGATAAGTTTTTTTTTTTGGAATTCATGAGGATAATATATTAAGGTGATTGAGTTTGACTTGATGTAGATTTGATTATATATACACAAATACATATATCGTGAAGAATATGCTGCTTTAGTACCATATAAATAGTTTTTTTGTAACATAAATAATGTTTTTTCCATAGAAGGCATTAATGTAGATACCATATTGTACTAGTTGGAAAATTAATATTGGAACATTGTGTCGACAAAAAAAATATATATATTGCAACATTGTGAATAGAATACAAAACAACACACCAATTTTTTGAAATACCAAACTAGAAAAACAATCAAGATTATTAGAAAGAATACGTGATGTACATTAGTACATAGTACCCTTGACAAATCGTAGGGCTTCAAAGCACGTAAACCCTCTCGTTCATACCCTTATGATAGTATAATTTTTACTATCTTTTTTTTGTTACAATTTTATATCAGTTCTCATTCCATTATTTGATTGGATCCCTGCAGAACTAATTTGTAATTCAATGTTAAAAAAAAACTAATTTGTAATTAATTTTTTTTTCATTTATAAAGAATATATAGAATTTAATCATGGGAACTGTAAATTAGCGAAAATATTGTATCTTATCTTATATTCTAGTCCCTGAATCCACCTCGTAAAATAATAACTGGAATGATAATAGAGATTGTAGAAAACTAAAGTTTGCCTCATGCAATTCATATGTGACGTTTTAATAAATGTATTAGGAGAACGAAGATTAAAGAGCGCCTGTAGCTCAGTGGATAGAGCGTCTGTTTCCTAAGCAGAAAGTCGAAGGTTCGACCCCTTCCTGGCGCGTAAGTTTTGATTTCCTTTTTTTTTCAATAATTTGATGAAGTGACAAATTCTTTTTTTTTTCATTTAGTGTATTGACTTACCGGATCTGTGTCTCCAACTCCGGCGGTGTAAAACCCTAAACTCTTCCTTGCTTTTTCGCCGCCGAAGACTTAAAGAGTTATGAAGGTGTTCCATGTCGACGGTGAAAACACTCTCTCTGTGTCTCTCTTCTCCGATGTCACCAACTCCAAGTACTCTCTCTCTCTCTCTCGATTTTCTGGATTATCTGTAATCTCTCCCTTTCTCCGTACTTTATCAGAAAGAAAGTTTTGCGTTTTCGATTGTGTGTTGAAGTGTTATTGGACAAATCCTCACCTGCAAATTGAAGCTCGAAAGCTATTCAGTCTCAGATACTTATGAGAATCTCTGTTCGAAAGCTAAAACCTTCATTATCTTCCTTTGCTTTGTGTTCAGGGAGCTCTTGAATTCGATGCTTGATGGAACTCTGAAGCTTGAGGTCTCCTTTCTCAATGCCTTACTCGTACGTTCTTCTTTTTACTTTCATTTTTTTCTAACATTTTAGAACGACTTTAGATTTCTTTGATCTTATTAGCGGATTGTGTTTTATCAGATACCAGACGTTTTCCCTCTCTTAGGCGCTGCTCAGAAAGCACTTATCTCCAAATCACGCGATTCCTTATCAACCCGAACTCTTCATTCTGAGCTCGTCTACAATTACTCGGGTTCTAAACATGTAAGCAAACAAAACGTTGCTTGTGGTGGTTCTTGTCTACTTCTGACACACTGGGGTTTAGTTCTGTTGTTGTTCAAGCCTCCTTAACTAATTGTCTACTTTAACTAAGATTACTGATTATAGCTGTTGTGAGTTGTTTAGAGAGAACTGGTAGCTGAGTGTTAAGTGTCTCTCATTAATCAAGTTTCTTTGGTTTGTTGAATTATTTATAGATAAGAATAGATTACAGACAACTTCTCTAATGTTGTTGGTGTTGTTCATTTCTTCCTCCATCTTAGATTACAGAATCATTGAAACGATGTGGGATATCCGAAACCTCTACTTACATTCTAGCTGCCCGGTTCAATGCTTCTCCCCTTGAGGTCAATCATCATCATCTGAAGACTTCATGTTAATTGCCTTTTTTCTTAGTTTCGGTTTCTCTTTTGTTTCTACCAACCATGACATGTTTTGAGTTCAAAACTTAGATGGAGGAGGTGGCGAAATTGATCAACGGGAAGGAGATTGACTTGGAGGAGTTAAAGACTCAAGCCAATCAAGCACATATTTTAAAGGTAAATGTTTTGGTTTACAGACTCTGTTAACAGCCTCCCTTTTTCATTTGATAATCATATGTTTATAGAACTAACAATCTGCAACATTGATTCTTTTTCAGCACTACAAGATAACTAGCCAAGAACTGGGGATATCCTCTCTCGGAGATGCCATTGTTTGCAGGATCGCTGCACGCGACGCTTTGTAAAAGAATACATCTTTCTGTTCTTTCTTTGTCCACCAAACTATGGTTCTTTTCTCAATTATACTTTAACTACATGTGACAATTCTCGTTATGTAATACTTTGCATCTCTTTATTTACTGTCCTCTATAGTTTGAACTCATTTTTTTATGAGAAGAACATAGTAATAACCAAAAATACAACTAATTACATTGTTCTTTGCCCAATATAAGTCAAAACAAACAAAAGGATTCTTGCTCCTTTTGAACAAGCTAAGACAACAATATCAACTCTCCTCTTGCACTCAACTATAACAAGAAAGAGTGAGTGGCAAAAGAATCACTGGAACATATCAGCAATAGTGTTTCCAGAATCAGAAGAATCTCCATTCCCAAAATCCATCATCATCATCTTCAAATACTCATCCATATCACAATCCCCTCCTCCACCATGCCACTGCTCTGCTTCCACAGAATCCGCTGCACTTACGCTCGTACTCGCACTTGCACTCACATTCGCTACTACATCATCAGCTGCTGCAACAGGGGAAGAAGTAGACGAAGTGTAATCCATAAACGGGAAGTTTAGTTTAGCCCGTGGCCCACGGAACCCAATAGCGGCCCGATCATAAGCTCTAGCCGCGTCCTCAGCAGTCTCAAAAGTGCCGAGCCAGACACGTGTCGCTCTTTTAGGATCTCTGATCTCAGCTGCAAATTTTCCCCAAGGTCTCTGCCTCACTCCTCTGTACCCATTCTTCTTGTTCTTCCTCTTCCTCACTTTCCCTCCTCCTTCCGCTTTCTTCGCCGCCACTGCCACGTGGCTCTCTCTTCTACTAGTAACCCCTTCTTCTTCATCAACCTCTACTTGTAGTGTTCTGTTTTCGATTCTCTGATTTGGCGCGAAAAAGTAGTTACAACCGAGGCAACCGTCGATCCTACACACTTGGCACGTGTCGGAATCCGAACGAGGCATTCCCGCGCTTATCACTGTGCTGTGATCGCTGGAGAAGCCCTGATACGGCGCCGTTTCGTTTTCCCCTGAGATTACGTGCTGCAAGGCGGATACTATTACCGAGAGTTCTTGCTCCTCCGGTGAAACCTGATACGGATACCTGGTCCGGGTCAAATCGCGATCCGAAGGTGAAGCTCCGAAGAATTCGGGTCTGTTGTTAGGATAATGCATTTGAGTTTTTGGATTTTTTTTTTTTTGTTGTCGACTCTGTTCAAACACCTGAGAGATGATGATGAAGTGAAGTGTTTTTTTTTTGGTTTCGGTTGTGTTTGGGGGAAACTGAAAGTGGAAAGACGGTCTTTATATATGCGTGTTTTTTTTTTCAAATGTCTTTGTTGTGGCTAAGTCAGTTGCCAACTGGCACACACACTCTTCAAACACGGGCTCGGTTTTGTGATTTGATTTTTTTGGAAACACGTGCGTTATTTTCTCCGAATGTCGATAATGCTATTTTATTATTATATTCATCTTTGGGATGGGTTTATCAGACAGTGACATTTCTTTAAAAAGTATTGAAATCATTATTTATCATATGTGACGCTTTTAAGAAAGAGTCACCTTTTGTGATTTGTTATTTATTTATTATAAAGCTTTATGTTCGTTTTCACACAGTTTATATTTTAATTTAAACATGTTTAATTGGGAATAAGTATCTAGGTACGTAATTGATTGGGTTTTAGAATAAGGCACGTGATATTTTCAACTTATTTTTTCGACTGCTTTGTGAGCAATTTGTCTTTACACATTTAGAGCTTGTGCAGATCAATTTGTCTTTCTAGATGACTAGATCCATCGCCTCAAAACTCAAAAGCCTATCTATATCCTTTCTGTCTTTTTATACTATAGTATACAACGAATGAACGAATCAATCCAACAATATTTTTTAAAAAGTTATGCCAATAGACATGTGCAACATTACAATAACATTGTGTTTCACACAAACAGATGGTGAATAAGAAATAGACTATATCATTTTACGAGCACAAATATAAACAGTCACTATGAACTTTGCTCAACGCGCGTCTCTATTTTAACCGACCATGTTTTATCACACTGCTTTTTTTTTTTTTAAATGGCTCAAATCATTCAATGACACAACTTCCTAATCATTGTTTCTTAAGTTTCGAATATACTTTTATTAAGAAATGTGCATTGAAGTGAGATGAGACCAAAATTACTACTATGTTAAAGCATGGATTGGTTTCCTATAGTCATGTCTGATCCAAGTATTATGTATTCCCGATTCTAAAATGGAACTAGGTAGAAGATAAATCGTACAATATATCATATTTTGTATATACATAATCAAAATTAACATATTATATGTTAAAAAATTAACATATTATATAAAATATTTGTTTATTTATTTTTGTTAAATGGTTTCAAATTTAATGTTCACAAAACTTAATATTATGTATTCTGGTTATATAGATTTACAACATTGACAAATGAACTGCCTTACGATCCAGACATTGTCACCACTCTTTGACATCTTCATTAAAAATTATTAAAATCACAGAAAACATTATTTCCATCTTACTTTCAGTATAATTGGTTTATGACACTGATGATGTTTATATGGCTATGATCGATTTTTACATAAAAATAGGAAAATCATGATGCCCGCAATTATGTTTGTAGGTTTACAATACGAGTCATACTAATATATTAGCATACTTTTAAGAACAAATCTTTTTTGTAACATATTAATAACAAATCTTTATTAAATTGTCTATACATAAAACCGACACTAATACGATACGCTAGAATTTGAGAAATTCAACTAATTAACATGAGAGAAACTTGCTTTTATTTATATATACTTTTTTATTAGCTTAATACATGCAAAATGAAGAAAATGAGTGTAATTAAGTAAAAAAAAAAAAAAGAGAGATAACTTGTCAAAGGTGGTGAATGAAAGCGAAAGCATTACTGTTTCTCACTGATTTCAGGTATTCCAATGATTTAGAAGTTAAAGTGATATCATGATGCTGAGCTGGAATGTGGATTCAATAAGCCCTTACGTCACTCTATCACAGTGTTGACCTTTTCTTCATGCTGACCCACCACGTCTTGGCTTTCTAGACTCTCTTCTCGCTATTACCTTTGATTATTATTTTCTCTTCTTAGTCTTTTGGTCTTTGACTTTGTCTCGTAGCCAGTTATAGAACACACGTCATGACTCTTATGGATATCATAGAGGCAAACCAATATCAATATTTACTGTACTTCTTTATTTACAAAGGAATATCAAGAAAATTTACTGCCTCTTAATCTTATATTAGGCTCTACGATTTAACGTTTTTTACAAACTTTTGTTGCTATTATTTTCACATTTTACTTAGCACTTATTATTTTCAAGGTATTATATACACTGACAATAATGTCTACAATTATTCAAACTTTTTGAGAATTTCAATGGATTTTAGAATGTACAATAGTACTAAAACCATTCTTGTTAATTACGTATAAAATCAAGTTTGTCTCAATCTATGCGAATATTTGATTGAGAGACTTAAGGACGGCAGGATCCGATAAAGATAAACAAATCTAACCCTGTAAATAGAAATGAGAAGTAAAAGCTTCAAGATACCAAAGACAGAGTGGCACGTTGAGCACGTGTGGAAAATGATTGTAACACGTTTTTTGCGCTGACCAACGTTTCCCTCACTATCTAGCCGCGTCATAACTTTTTTGCTTTTCTTCTCTTATTTTTTTTTTCCCTCCCACTAATCAGTTTGCTTCTATGGATTAGTACTAAACACATTTAATAGTTAATTAATAACGGTCGATCACCAACTCTTGATCCTTTTACTTTTTTCCTAATGCCTATTTTCATTGCCTATGAAATTATAATCAACTCTCATTTATTAATTAACTGTAAATAAATATCTAACCGTCCATTTCATATACTCCCTCTATTTCAATATAAGTTCTATTTCTGTCATGAATGACTTTGGATTTATAAGACTTTTTTTTATAAATACCAAATTCAATAAGATAAGATTTGGTGATAAATTGGAATTCTTTCAGATGCTCAATTCAAGAGACTTGTTCAATTAGTCTTTAGGTGGATTCCTTTATATTTCTTGTTCGGTTGCTTGTCTATTTTATTTTGTGGCGTTCATTCTAAAATATAAGTTTCAATCATAGTGTCTATTATAAGGATTTAAATAAGCTGCATATATGTGTATTGTAGCCTTTCACATTGGTGTTTACAAACATAATAATCTCTCAACTGTAATCACTTTAAATCACATGTATTTTTTCTTTAAAGATTCAACTGTTGCACACAGTACACAGACACATCATACAAACATAATACATGTGTTATCCACAAACTCTAAGAAAAAGGAAAAAAAGAATTTTCAATTTTGGAAGAATCAAGAGGATAAGCTGGCCTCGATGCTAGTAGTGGACATCTCTTGGAACATGGAAGTTTCTTCAACATGCCACTTAAGAATCTCTCTCGCATACCTAAGTGCATTATCCACAGTATCACTCTCCAAGCTCACTTGTGAAACAAACAGCTTCGGCCTAAAGGACCTACCACCACCACCACGCGTCGAAAAGGGTTCCACGAGTGAATCATACAGTCTCTTGAACTGATACCCTATGTAATGGAAAGCACGCTGAGCCATCGGAGGGTTGTGTCTGCTCGTCTGGTTCTGACTGATCAACGGGTTGAAGTCTTCAAACCACTCACAGGTTCTCAAAGGAACCTCCTCGATTTTCTCTTCTAGGAGATCGAATTTGGTTAAGACCAGGAGGAATCTTTTGTTAGCTAGGATGGGGTGAGTCACCATGCTCTCGAAGAGCTGTTTGTTTGCTATCATCTTGTTCACAAGAACACCTTCACTGTCTTCTATGTACTCTCCATAATCTGTTAGTGGGACACAGAATATCACCAGGTCAGCGTCTTCAAACATTTCCAGCAGTTTCCAGTTTTCTCCAAGCTTTCTTGGATTTAATCTGATGAGTTGGTACCTGATAAAAGACAGAGAGAGAGAGAGAGAGTAAGTTCAACGGTTGTTTTTATAGTTAGAATGCAACACAAGGAAAGAGAAACAGAACTAACTTCATTTTTGGATCGTGTTGATAATCGATCTCAAGAGAGTCTTCTTGAGCTGTTGATGGGAATGAGAACTCCACACAAGAAAGTCCTTCTATAGACGAGAGTCCTTCCGCTTGCAATATGTCCATATCAGTAGGATTGTATTCTGCTGTCGATATCTCTAGAATCTGATTAGAAACAACTTTTAGGTTAGTCTACATTTTTTTCCCACTAAAGAAGTACAAAGGACATGAATTGATGCAAACTTACTCGTCCAAGAAAATAAACAGCGTTTCTGGGAAATGTATCACGAAGTCTTTTGTAGGTGGCTTGAATGGCTGGTACTCTCCAGAGCTCTGCAACGGTTTGAGCATTCTCGCGGCTTGACGCTGGAAATATCTTCAGGTTTCCTTCTTCCTTTTCTTTGAGAAGCCAATCTGAAAAATGTTTTAGTCTCGGGTTGATGGAGCTAACTGTTTTAGCACTGGTCTCATCTCCTGTATTGCCTAAATCACAAGAACATCCATCAGCGTCCCTCAATAATCATTTGTTATTAACTGATGTTTGTAAGTTTCTCTAAACTTTACCTGTTTGGTCTGAGGACTGGTTATTGTTCATCTCTTGTTCATATGCCTCAAGAACCATCGCTAGATACGCATAGAGATTGGTTTGGATTGTGACTTTGATTCTTTCACGCTCGTCTTCAGTGAATGGGACTTTATATAGAGATCTTGCCTGAAACGAAAGAAAGTCAATAGCAGATTCTCTACATTAGACTTGTGTGACATTTAGATGAATAGCTCACTTGTTTGTAAATCGTAGTGGCACCACATTTCTCCTCACCAATCAGAAGAAGCTTGTTAAGCATTTTATGCTCATATACGGGTTCATCATTTGGTTCTACTGCAGATGAAGTAGGAGGAACTGGCAGAGAGAACACCGCACATGCAAGCCTAGCTCTTTTCTGAGAAAGCAACCATAATTATAAGTTTATATCCATATGTTTTGAACAAGAAAAAAACCCCTGTGCTAGGAAAATCATACCTTACTCCAGATGTTCCCCATGATACGGTTCTGACCTTCTTCTTGGTAAGTTCCATCTGAATTGACCCAAAAATGAGGCTTCCCTTCACACTGTACCCCAACCATCTACATCAGAGAAAATAGGTACTCAGTTTCAGATGATAAGTTAGAGGAGAAAGAACAATAGCATAAGGTTATCCAGGCAAAGCACCTTGAGCATCATGAGCTCACTCTTGGTTATTTCCCGGTTATTAATGAAAATCTCAGTGTCACCACTGCTTGCTTCCTTCTTGATGTTACCTCCTATGTTCATGTGAGGACTTATAATCTGACAAGGTTTCTCTCCTACCTGTAATGAATACATAGAACCTCTGATTCAGCTGAGTATTCAAGATATAAACCCAAGGATATATATATATATATATATACAAGAAGTTATACCTTTCCCCAATAGCCAGCAACTTTATCATACCAATAGTCTCCAGGTTTTAGCTTTTTAGGTGGATTAGGACAAGTCTGCAACATGAAAAGCTCTTCTTCATCCAAAGACTTGCCATTGACAGTGATCAGCCTTGAAGGCAACTGATTCACCTTGCAGGAGATCTCAGCCTGCATGACTTGTTTAAGTTCCGAATCCGTGAGAACACGCTTCAGCATTCTTGAACACTTGCCAAGACTCTTTCTGTTGTCCTCAGCGATTCTGAAACCAATGCAAGTCTGACACTTTCTTCCTTCAGGCATCGCACCCATGGCTCTACGCACACAATTGGAACAGTATTTGGCACAGCAGACAATGCAAACTTCCTTCTCCGTAAACCTGCTCCCCATAAGGCATCGGTAGCACGACCCTTTTTTACCTTTCCTTTCAGCTCTAGGCGTTGCAGCAGCTATACTCTCCCCATCAGACATGTAAACGCTTTCTTCATCATATTCACTCTCCTCAGCGAATCTCACACGGTTTACTTGCTCTTCTTCATCCGAACAATCATCTTCACCTTCTGATTCCTCTCTTACTTCTGCTGCCGATGATGACGGTGAAGCAACTTCTTCTCCTACCTCCAACCTCTGTGATGATGATGATGACGATCCAGAAACCACATGATGAGGCTTCAAAACCACACTAGGACTCGCTACAGAATCAACAAAACCGTTCTTCTTCTCATGTGGTTTCCTGGTAACCCTACTTGATGACGGTGATGACGATGATGATGATCCAGAGACCAAATGATGAGGCTTCAAAACCACACTAGAGCTAGCTGCAGAATCAACAAAACCGTTCTTCTTCTTCTCAGGTGGTTTCTTGGTAAGTCTATTAGCCGTAGGGAGAGGCTGAACCACAGGGTAAGAGACAGCACTGGACAAGGAAGTAAACGAAACGGGAAGAGCCGTGGGAATCTCATCAACTTGAACGGGATTAGCTCGTGGAAGATTAGTAGCAATAAGAGGACCTTTATACTCCTCTGCAAATGAATAATCAATCTGAAAACTATTACTACTTTCTTCACCATCGTCACTAGCGTGATTATCCTTTATAGGAACCGGTGATGATAAAGGTAAGAACTTTCTTACAAGTGTAGCCATCTTCTTACCAAATTAACCACAGACACACCTCAAAAAACCCTAACCCCTAAAATTATCTAAATCGGGAAACTAGTAATCCAAATTAAGATGGATTAAATAGTCAATCAAGCAATCAATGAACATAAATACCTCAAAACGCTACAAATATATATATCAAATTGATTACAGAAAGCTCTTTTTTAGCTTTAAGAAAAAAACAAAAGTCGATTTTTTTAGATGTAAAGAGGAAGAGGCTTTTTTTTTTTCTGGGGGAAAGGAGTTGAAAGAGTGAAGAAAAGGAAGAAGAAAGACAGATGGTTGGATCGTCTTCTCTCTCTCACACAGACATTAGTAAAAAGACAAATGAGGAAGACTTTCTGTCTGTCTGTGAAGCAGATGAAAAAGGAAGGTTGGAAAGTTATTTTCCGGGAAAATTCTCGCCGTCAACGCGGGGTTGGGAGTTGTTAAAACGCTGCGTTGAGCCGGTCAAATAGAGGGTACTTTCGTAAACCCGTGGTCATTTCTAACAACCACATGTTCGAATTAACCGGAATCACGCGGTTCTAAGTAAACCGGATGATTTGATTCGGATGTGAAAATGATTTCGGTTTAGTAATTGATTGATTATATATGTTCGAATTAACCGGAATTAGGCGGTTCAAAGGAAACCGGATGATTGATTCGGATGTGAGAATGATTTCGGTTTAGTAATTGATTGATTATATATGTTCGAATTAACCGGAATTACGCGGTTCAAAGGAAACCGGAAGATTGATTCGGATGTGAAAATGATTTCGGTTTAGTAATTGATTGATTATATATGAAGGATTTTTTTTTTTGTTTTTTGCTACATTTATTTTTGGAGGATTTATTGCAGATATTTATTCTTCTGTACATGTTGTATTTTGCGTTGTACACTATGGTGTCCTTTATGTTACACGAAGTAGGAGTCTGATAGGTCTATAACTACTCTAGATTAAGGATGGTTGTGTTATTGGTCCATCGTACTTTTTTCTTTGTTCTTCTTAAACTTTATATTAATCAAAAAGTAGTATTATTTAGGAAGACCAATTCTATGGAAGATAACTCATCATTTTTTTGGGGGTAAAAGCCATCTTATAATTTTATTTTATTTTTTCTTAAAAAAGCCATTATAAAGTTGCAACCACGAAATAAAACACCCAGCGAAGACCAAATATGTTTTTGATTCAGTCTCTGTCGTTGTTACAAACTAGCTGCAGAGCGGGGGTTATGTATTTTTTTCGGTTGTTGGTTTAGTGGGTTATTCTAATAATACCAAATAATGATGAAATGAAAAGAATGTAGCAAGAGTGCAAAGTGAAAATATTGTATATATAATGTGTTAAATGTTATTTATATGCGAAATAAGTTATAGGAATAACTAAATTATAATATAGTTTTTAGTGTATAAAAATAGATGTCTATATTGTCTTTTTATGTTGGAAATAATTTTTATATCGGATGTCAAAACTTGATATAAATATTTATTTATAGTATTTATATTTGTATTAAACGATTTATCAATTTGAAAATAACTTTAATTTAAGCTAATATTTGTTGTTTGGGTTTCAATAGATAGGTTTGGATATGTTTTTTTGTAAGTTTGGATTTTGTTCATGAATAATGTGGTATTTTTCTTTACGGCGTCATCGACTGTGGAAATCCATCCGTCGGAGTCTGATAAAAATGAAATTATAGTAACCTTAAAAAATTGAAGAGAATTTACATAGTTATTTATAAATAACAAAACTATTTTATTTTATTTTATTTCACATACATAATTTTTTGAAAATATATATTAGGAAATATGTTCTAACAGTAAAAATATATATTAGGACATGAGAGTGCCGCGTGAGACTCGTTTTTTTTTCTTTTTTTTGGATGTTCGTTTTTTGATTCTTTTTTAATTGTAATTGGGTTTGAATTCGCCAAACTTTAGAATTTTTCCACTATTTTTGGCTTTAAACAATAAGTCCAGAGGAAAATAAACATTAAAACATTAAAACTAAAAAATCCATATGATAATAATCCAAACGAAAAAACTAAAATACATAACAGCTGGGTGGGTTGAACCCACACACTTGTAGACTTAATTAGATGCCTTATACCACTTTGCTAAAGTGTATTCATTGTTCATAGTCATTTTAAAAACACTATAAACTTTTAAAGTTTAAATACGTGGGACCCACTCGACTGCTGACGTGGATAGCCTTAGGAGAGTGAATCATTATTATATAGATTTGGAGAAAGGAATAATAATACAATTTCGTTTAAAAGTTTTTTTTTGTAAGTAAGAGAAAAAAAAAACAAAACTCATCATTACACGAAGACCACTAAGCCCGTGTTGACTCACTCATTAGCTGACTTGGCACAAAACTCTCCGTTGACTTGGTCATAAAAATTGAACACAATCCTTCGGCTCTTTCCCTCGTCGTGAAGACAGTCATCGTGACCGATCAATGAAGTCGCACTTCGTAAAATAATCACACTATAACTCCGACCACTCCTTTTCTATTTGTCCAAACTATATGAACTCCACGTGCAATTCTCTTCGTGCAAAGAAGTCGACACTGCCTCCTCTTCCGTCTCCCTCCACGTCGACATCTTCTCACACACGCGCCACACTTTAACCGATTTATCCAAACTTCCACTATATATAATCCACTTCCTGTCTCCCTCCATCGAGCCTTTTGCTTCTTTACCACGGCAAACTCGTTCCTCCTCCACGGCTAAACACTTCACGGGTCCCATATGCCCCGTCAAAACAGACAGACACTCATGAGATCCATCAGACGTGTCCCGTCTCCAAACACAAATGTTCTTATCCGCTGAACCACTCAACAACAAGTTCCCCGCTACAGTGAGACACAACACAGCGGATTTATGCCCTTTGAGTATCCCTCCAACGAATAAACGCTTCGAACGCTGCCAATAGTTAACCACCCCGTCTGACGAACCGGAATAAACCATCGAAAACTTCGGTTTAACCGCCAAAGCCGTGACCGCGTTTTCTTGCTTAAGCAAAACTTGAACCAAAACATGCCTCGTCCCCTTGACTTGCATCTCACGTTTCCACACTTTAACCGTACCATCCGCAGATCCCGTGAACACCAAGTCATCGAAACCGTACATAACCGAGTTTATCGCGTCCTCATGCGCTTCTATCGTCTCCAAACACTTCGAATCCGAGACTCTCCAGACCTTGATCGTCCTATCCCAAGAGCTGGAATACAACAAACCGAACTCCACGTCCATACTAAGACTCGAAACGGCGTCGTGATGCTTCGTTTTAACCGAGTTTTTATTACCGTAATGTTTAGGGTTTACAGAACTCTTAACCAACGATTTAAACGTTGGCAACGTACCGACACGTTTGTACTTTCCCGGTTTCCTCTTCGAGACTTTCCAAATCCGGATCTTACCGTCTTGATGACCGGTAAAGACCCGGTTATCTCCGAATATCACAATAGCTTTAATGAGTCCACTACTCGCTTTAAACCCGGCGTAGTCTTTCAAATTTTTCCAAACCCTAATGTTCTTTGAGTCCGAGCCCGTGTAGAGAAGGTCACCAGAAGCTGCTAGCGAGTATATATGACCTTCTTCACGTACAATGGAGCCAATGAGACCGTTTGTCTCGAGGAGATTGTCTTCATTAAACTCCGTGGCCCATGGTGGAGACACACGGGCCCATGGAGACATTACGCAAGGTGAACCGTCACCGCTTGTTGGACCGCTGCTCATGGTCGAGACGCTGCTAAACCGTTGGTGAGTTATGTTGGTGTTGATGATGATGGGGTCCACGGGAGGGAATATTCCGTCGTGGTCAGCTTTTAAGATGTCACCAAATTTAGGCCTCCGTTTGTGGACATTGTCGGTGATCTCATGGCTTAGATTGTGGCGATTGTTATATGGACTGGTTTGGAGATCAACGACCATGGTGCCACCTGCTTCGTTCCTCATCTCTTACTTCAAATCTTTGTCACAAAAGTCAAATGCTTGATTTTAATAGAGAGAATGTAATAGAATAAGTTGAAATCTCCTCTTACTTTTGTTTTTTTTGGTTTAGGAGTTTTTTTTTGGGTTTTGTGAAAGCTATGAATAAGAATGATTGTAGATTTTGGTTGGCAAAGAGAGACAGAGATTTTTATGGAGATATTGATGGGAGGATGGAGGGTTTAGAGAATGATTTGACTTTTTGAGAATTGTTTTGTTTTTGTTTTGTCAACGCCTCTTGGAGATTTTTTTATGGATTGTGGGAATTTATCTTATGAATGCACAGTTATACATACATTGACGAAATATCCAAAAAGGTTGGTGATCATTGTGTAATATGAGGCGGGGTGCTTCACATGTGGTTTTTTAGTAGAGGAAGATTCTATGATAAAGTATAAACAAATTTAAATAGTAAGTTTATGAAATATTCTTAGTAGTTGTTACTACTATCTTGATATATTTTAAAGACACTAGTACCAGTTTGTTGACCTTTTTTCTTAAAGAATGATATCTCTATTGAAGGCCATTTCTCAAAAAAAGAAGAAAGAATGATATCTATATTGTTCTCTTCAAATGTCAAAAGTTAAAACATATATTTATCATACTCTTGGATATTTTGAAAGACATGTTAAATGCATATAGTTTTGTTGCGGTTGACACTCTATTGCATATAATTAAGAACATTATTTTTTTGTAACTTAAGAATTAAGAACATTTTAGCAAAAAAAAGGAAAAAAAGAATTAAGAACATTCTTTCTTAAATGCACATAATGTTCTTACCAAATACAATGCATTTGAGGCTGTAGGTACATTGGAAGATTACTATATTAGGCACGTAAGCCGAAAGATAATTAAAATCTCCTACATAGCTCATTTCACATTAGCTTTGCTGCCTAATATACTTTTTGTTTTGGTAATGATAATTAAACGAATGTACCATATTGTCAAGCATTGTTGTCCTTGTTCCACAAGGCCACAACACTTTGATATGCCCATACAAATCATCTCAACAACGAATTATTCTTAAAAAGATATTTATATCAAAAGGCTATATATATATATATACCCACTTGATAAGATTTAAGAAAATTATCTTCGGCATGTTTCCACTACTTGTTACTTGGATTGGCTATTTACATAGCAAATCGCCATATTAGGATTTAGATAACGTCTTCGAACTTGATTTACTATAGTTTCTGAATCGATGGAATTAGAACGATAGCTGAGATTTAATATGAACAGGTAAAGACTGATCTATTAAATTAACGACCAATATCTCTCTTGACTTTCAAATTTACATTTCTCATAGGCATTGAGAAGTAACAGAGCTCATAAGCTGAATCAGAGATCTATATATTAGAAGTCCAAAACAAGAGTTATATATATAAACCAAAAACTATATGAAAGGAAAATAATAATTAGTCAGTCTCATGACTCATGAATCTTGGGGGATATAGTTAAACCCTTTTTGCTATGTCATATCATTTGGACAAAACACAAACAAAAAAAAGGGATTTGAGTTGAGCTTCAGTTCAGTTCTGGTCAACGAAATCAGCAGGCAAGTTCAAGTCCAACAAAGTGACTTTGCTGTTTGTGAAACCTTCTCTTCTTGGACGTTTATGTGAAGAAGAAGAGCAAACCATGTCTTCAGAGTTCCTTGATCCTGAAGCTCTCTCAGGCCTCGATGTCTCTCCTGCACAACAAAGAATATCACATCTCATTAGTATTGCATTCATTGGTTCATAAGTAGAATATAACACACAAAGAAAGTTATTAGTTACCGCTAGTACCACTACTATCCAAAGGTTTGGAACTCCAAGAAGCATGAAACTCAGCTGCTTGTTCGATCCCCTTTGAGCTGTAAGGTGCGATGTTGTGGATACCAGACTGTAGAGAACCGAGCAAATCATTCTCAATGCACTCGTACATTTTCTTGCATAAGGTATCCACCGCAACAGACAAGTTGATGACGTGGATCCTCACATCCATGACTTTATCATCACTAAAATCATCAAAAGGCTCCTCTAACAACTGAGAAAGTTTCTCAACATTACCCTCGAGTTGCTGCTGCTGATCCTCGAACAGATTCTTCTTCATCTCTCTCTCCTTAGTGCTCATCTCATCTTTGAAGAGCTCCTCACCAAACATGTAATAAGCGAAAGCATACGAATACGAAAGAATCCTTCTCGATCTGAATAGCCTGTTGAGTCCATTGGTGACCCAGGTGAAGTCTTTGAGCTTCAGCTCTTTCTTTTCTGACTTTGACACTTTCTCGAGGATTGTATTCCTCAGTTTATCTTCCAGCTTTGATGAATCAGTGTGAGCTTTGTATCGGTGATGGTAATGTGTGTACCTGTCTAAATCCCTTTTGGCTCTTTCCATCTGCCTTTCTTTGTCATCTTCGTACCGACCACAACTGTGACCAGCGATGCTCCTATAAGTGTGTTCCTTTCCAGTAGCTCCACCACATAGCCAACTGTACAAGATGATGACAAAGCAAACATGAGAAACACAAAGCAGATAAAAAAAGAAGAGAAAGACTAGAGTTCCTACCAAAAGTACTGCCCACAAATACACCTCACGAGATTGCATCCACCATTCTTCTCCACAGGTTTGGAACATTTGGGACACAGCTTCGTATGTACAGTTATCCAGTTAACAGTCTCCGACTCATCCCTACACTTCTTTCTCCATAGCTCCCACATCAAACAAGAGCAAGGGGAATGTGCTTGGCACATACAACTGAAACAGAACTGAAGACCACACGAACATTCCACTTCGCAGAGCTTGTCATCCTCAGCTCGTATCGCATTCCCACAATGGGGAGTGCTCGGACACCACTTGACCATCTTGTTGTCTTCGATGTATGACTCAACAAGGAACCGATCAAACTTCTCAGCTAGATCAGGACGCTTTTTACTTACAAGGCTCCTGACAACATCTTCATCACATATAGCATTGCATTTATGAGCCATGCATCTAATCCTTTTGCTCTGACCTTCATTGATCTGCACAGTGAAATGCTCCGTCCAACCTAAAACCAAGCAAGAAGTAAAAATCATACGATTAATAAAAACAAACCTCACAAACTAGGAAACATGGAGACTCACAATCGTTGCAAAAGCGATGGCCACAGTCCATCCTCTTCATCTGATCACCTAACACATCCTCTAGACAAACATCACAACACATCTTCGAAGATCCAGTACACGAAGTGTCGCCGTATTGACAGTTGAAAACAGTTATACCAGCTCCAGAAAACAAACTATCTTTCCCTTTCTCAACGAAAACAGCAAACAACTTCTCAATATCCCACTGGTAATGAATGAGAAGAGTCCGAGCATGATGCTCCTTAATAGATAACAACTCCATCACCCTCATCAAATCTTCTCTCTGCACCCCAAAAAAAAACAAAACCAATTAAAAGCTTGCTGAAAAGAAAACGATCAACAAAGAGTCATCTTTGCCTATTTCACCTGTGCTGCTAGAAGCGATTCTTGTGTGATCACCTGCAAAAGAAAAAAAAAACAATTGATTAACGTTAATACAGAACACGATATTTGATTAAAGTAATTGTCACACAATTGAGCTGTTTCGTAATTATTTAGTAAACTATTAGCTCCCAAACCCTAATTTCAAACAGAGAAGAGCATTACAAATCTCCCAATTTCATAATCTGAGACATAAAGGATGAAGCTTTCGAAAAACCCATAAGATTCAGATGAACAATGATGATTTTCAACTCGCAATTGCAATTATATAATCGAAATTCACTTCAAATCTTTTCACCAAACAATCGAATCAGAGAGGAGAGAAAGACCTGAGTGGATGATTTCTTAGACGAGGAGGCGTGAAAATCGGAATCGTCGTTATCAATCCCACCCAGAGACTCCTGATCGGAGGAGTAATAGCAATCCTCTTCATCATCAGCTGTGTAATAATCATCCATCGTTTCGTTCCTCTTCTCAATTATTGTGAAGAGTCGAATTCATGAAATTAAGTTTAAATAAGAATTAAATTTTGGAAGGTTGTGGAGGAGGTTAGGTATATTCCGGCGAGATCACAAGGGAGCTCTCCGGTTAATTGAAAAGAGTAGTAAGAAGGAGAAAGCTGAATCGCGCAGCAAAAGATTCCTATCTCTCTGACGCCTTTTATGCGGAACATACACTCTTGCGACGTCGTCGTTTTGGGTTAAGAGGTAACTCGAGGATGTTATGTATGATTTGGGGGGTTTAATTGTTTTTTCTTTTTCTTTTTTTTTTTTTACAATGAATGGCATGGAAAGGCTTTTAATAGAAAGTGAGATAATTTGGAAAGGTTATTAATTAATGATATTTTTTGGTCAATTTCTTTTTTTTTTTGGAAACATTAATTAGTTTTCTTTCTTGCTTATTGACCATCTCATATATGATTTGAATAGCAGCTGAAATATTAAGTTTACATTCTAAAATCGGCTTTACTCAGATTTTATTTTAAACTTTTGAAGGCTAGTAGTCCACAATTTATTGATACTTTTAATGTTTATGAGTTTATTTAGGACTATTCAATTAATTTTTCTTTCTAGCTTATTGACCACCATATATGATTTGAATAGCAGCTGAAATATTAAGTTTACATTCTAAAATCAGCTTTACTCAGATTTTATTTTAAATTTTTGAAGGCTAGTAGTCAAAAAGTTATTATTAATTTTAATGTTCATGAGTTTATCTACTATTCAATTAGTTTTTCTTTTAGTCTATGAATTGAGTAACGAATTAAAATTTACTTTTAGTTTCGAAAGTTTGTAGTCAAGGAAAAATGATAATCTCATTAATAAGCATAAATTAATTAAGAATATTTTAGGAATACTTAGTCGATTTTCTTTTTCAGTTTAGTAAGGTTTAAATAGTCAATATCGTTGTTGAAATATTACAAACTTACCAAACAAGTAGTCAACCGTTTCTCCAAAAACAATATTTGAAAAAAAAAACTTTCTATAATCCCACTCAATCCTAATTGTAAAGCCCATTTATGAGCTAATGGGCTGGAGAAACTTGTCCTCAGCCCAACAGCAACTTACAATTTGAGATTTCATAGTATGGTAACCCACAAGACATCTATTCTGGTATACTGACACAAAGTTTAGTGTATACATTGGTTTTCACGTACGTCCATAACGTTATTGGACTGTAAACGGTATGTTATGGAAGCAGAAGTTTGGTTCAACTCTATTTTTATTCTTTTTGTCTTAAAATCACAAAGATTGAATTACAATTACAAATCAAAATAGTTAGAACATAAAAACAGACAACAAACAACTAATCTTCATCAGCATCGATGTTTGTTCGGAAGAGGTAGTCTTCACCTTCGAGTTCATCTTGATACATGTTTATTAGTGGATCATTATGTTTCTGATCTTTTTCTTTCTCATCAATAAGTCTCTTTCCCTGAACAAAAAAAAACATACTGGACTTTCAGAGAAATACCACAAGTTAAGCGTATGCAACACAACATATACTACCAGAACATAACAAGTTTTGACTTGTGACAAGGTGAATCAAACTCATATCTTCGACTATCCTGTTAAAGCTAATTTTCAAACGATATGGAGGCTTGCATCGTAATTAAACTACACTCTATATCAAGGCTTAATTTTGATCATGACACTGGCCCAGTGTCACTGGGTTGAAATGGAATACTAAGTAAAACTCTTTGATGACAGAGTTGAAAATTTGTTTTGACAACAAGCAAAAGTTATCACTAAGAGCTTGCGAGGATTCACTAAGGAGCTACTCTTAAATACAACAGAAACAGAGAACAAAAGCTAATCACTGAACGGCAAAGATTATTTGAGAAATTACCTTTCTTAAGATATAGAAGAAATAATGGAAGCCATCGCCAAAAGTGTTGTACTCCATGGACCAATTAAACTTGGGATCCATAAACAAAGGACGCCTGAAATGCGGCTGCATGACAAGAAAAAGAGAGGGCATTTCAGAGGTGATCAGCTGATAATTGAGCAAATGCAAGAACATGATATGTCATATATCCTCTTTCAATACCTGGCCAAAAGTAATGGAAATAAAAATCCCGTCTGGTTTCAGAACTCGGTGAACTCCATCAAGAGTAGCCATGACTTTGCTAACGGTTTCTTGACGGGGATTCCATGGATCACCAGCATCCACAAACAGTACATCCTTCACGTAATTGATTACCAAGAGATAAATAGCAAATAATGAGCTTTATTTCGTCAAAGGAGGATTTAGCTCAGTTTTACCATGGTCCCTTTCTCAAAAACTACATCAAAACACTCGCTTTCAAAGGGGAGATCTAGCATGTCAGCTTGCACCACTTTTATTTCTGAATATAGATCAAAGTCTCACGTCATATATAAAAACCATCCACTGAGCATTTGCTAAAGCAGCAAATATAATTACAAAGCAGCAAGAGAGTAATGAAGTTCTTAGCTGAAACTAATATAGACACTATGTTCATAGTTCGTTGGTTAGAATCAGAAGAAATAGCCAACATACCTTTGTAGCCTTTTGACAGCAATCGGCTCTGCATCTTGTCAACAGCAACATAAGATAAATCAATGCAGGTGATGTCAACAATGCCATCTTTATACAGCTCCTCACACAACTGAGAGTTGCCACATCCCAGTTCCAATACCTTTGTTATACATCCAGAGAAATATTAAAATTAAACCACAAATTTGCAAAACAATTCAAACGCTGCATTATGGTGAGATGAAAAGAAAAGAGAGATGAGAGAGGGATAGGGAAAGTACGGAAGAAGAGGTATTGATGTTGGAATTGATGAGATGCTGGAAATGAGAGTAGTCCTTGAACCATTCGTAGTGTTCCTCTGATGAGAACCTCTCGTCCCAATAGTGAGGATCTAGGTAGGTCAGCGCAGAAGGAGGTCCGACGGAGTTCTTATCCGGGTTTTGATTTGGATCCGAATCACCATTGGCGGGTCTACACTCCATCGCTTATCACTTGCTCGATTCTCCTTTAGCTCCGGGAAGATAAACCCTAAACCCCTTTCACTAATCACTTTTGGGCTTTGTTAAACCGAAAAAATATGGGCTTGACGGGCGGATAAAAATACGGCATTAAAGCCCGTTGTGAAGTTGAGTGTTTTTGTCTGACTTACCTACAAAAAAAAAAAAGGAATAAAAACAATCATCTTTTTTTTTTCTTTTTGTAACCATCATTTTCTAATTAACTAACATCCATGAAAATGACTTAATATAGACAAGATGACAAACTATGAAACAAATCTTGAATCCAACTTTATTTATATTCACAAAATCACACACATGTTTTAGAGTTTAACTATATAAATTTGTGAACAAAAGACTCGTCCACGGTCTGTCTTTGTGAAATAAGACTATTTGCAAAAAAAATGAGATCAAATAACAAAATAAGACTTAAATGTGTTACAAAAAGAAACTACAAGTCTATGTAGTTGGTTGCATTTTACACGTATTTCAGATAAACTAATTATTCTTTTTCTTGTTCAATTTTCAACGTTACACACTACGTACATAGTTTATCTATTTATATATAGACCGAAGATAATAATAAGCGGACCATCCATCCATTACAAGTTTTTGTCTTTGTTGTCTCTACTTTCTCTCTCTGTCTCCATGGCTGCTACTCTCCAGCTCGGTCGATTATTCGTGCGCCCGGATACTTTCTCTCTTGAGAACCATCTCTCCGGAGGATCTGTCCGTCTCCAGAAACCTTTCTCAGTCCGGTGCTCTCTTGGAAACGAGGACGTTCCTTTCCCATCGATGGACTCAGGTTTTGACGCCAACACTTTCCTTAAGAACTTTAAGAGAAGCGAGAATTACAATCGTAAAGGGTTCGGTCACAAGGAAGAGACACTCAAGCTCATGAATTCAGAGTACACCAGTAAGTTCCATACTTGTTGTTATGAGGAACAATATTTTTTTATTTGTTTTGTATTTTGACATTCTTCTTATTAGGTGATATAGTGGAGACGCTGAAAACAAATGGGTATACATATTCTTGGGGAGATGTTACTGTAAAGCTAGCTAAAGCATATGGCTTTTGCATAGGTGTTGAGCGTGCTGTTCAGATTGCTTACGAAGCAAGAAAGCAGTTTCCAGAGGAAAGGCTTTGGATTACTAACGAAATCATTCATAACCCCACTGTCAACAAGGTATGTAGCTTAGTCACTATTTTAACATCTTTTGTGGTGACCAATTGATATATAGTTGACTTGCATTGACCTTAATGGCAGAGGTTGGAAGAAATGAATGTTAAGATTATTCCTGTTGAGGATTCAAAGAAGCAGTTTGATGTAGTGGAGAAAGACGATGTGGTTATTCTTCCTGCCTTTGGTGCTGGTGTTGATGAGATGTTTGTTCTTAATGATAAAAAGGTTCAGATCGTTGACACCACTTGTCCTTGGGTCACAAAGGTTGTTACCTTCTTTTGCTATCCTCTCAGAGTTTCATGTCTCTAGTTGTTGCTAATTAGTTACTTTTTTTTTTTGACATTTGTGTTGGCTCTAAAGGTGTGGAACATGGTTGAGAAGCACAAGAAAGGGGAATACACATCGATAATTCACGGTAAATATAATCATGAAGAGACCATTGCTACTGCATCTTTTGCTGGAAAGTACATCATTGTCAAGAACATGAGACAGGTAATGACTATTTTTTTGATACTTGGAACCGAGTTTTGCAAGGCTTTTGTTGTTGCTAATGTGTATGTACCGTATTATTACTGGAGCAACAGGCAAATTACGTTTGTGATTACATTCTTGATGGTAAGCTCGATGGATCTAGCTCCACAAAAGAGGACTTCATGGAGGTAAAGAGCTTCCTTTTCCACAATCTCTGATGCTATTCTTGTACTGATATCTAATATCCATGGGGTGTGGTGTTTGTAGAAATTTAAATATGCTGTCTCAAAGGGTTTTGATCCTGACAAAGACCTTATTAAAGTCGGTATTGCAAACCAAACAACGATGCTCAAGGGAGAAACAGAGGAGATAGGTTAGTTACTCTTACTATTACTACACTGCTTTTAAATCACAATCATTGGAAACAACACATCTTATAGTTGTGTCTCATCTCCGCAGGGAAACTGATTGAAAGAACAATGATGCGCAAGTATGGAGTGGAAAACGTAAACGGACATTTCATCAGCTTCAACACCATTTGCGACGCTACTCAAGTAAAATTTGCGAGAATCTCATTGTCATGCCTATAAAACGAGCTTTAAGAAATGGTTGTTTGATTCATCAATGCTAATCTCTTATTTTTCAGGAGAGACAAGATGCAATCTATGAGCTAGTGGAAGAAAAGATCGATCTCATGTTAGTGGTTGGTGGGTGGAACTCAAGCAACACTTCTCACCTTCAGGAGATCTCTGAGGTCCGTGGGATCCCGTCTTACTGGATCGACAGTGAGCAACGGATTGGACCTGGTAACAGAATAGCCTATAAGCTCCACGTAAGTGCGGTATTCACACAACAAAGTCCACTCATTATTCCTTGAATAATTTTCAACGATCTTCTTCTTTTACATTTAACAGTACGGAGAGCTGGTGGAGAAGGAGAACTTTCTTCCAAAGGGGCCAATAACCATCGGTGTGACATCAGGTGCATCAACCCCAGATAAGGTAAGAACATGTGTGTTTCAGTTGCAACTGGTTTTGTTCCTTTTGTTTATGCGCGAAATGTGTTGTGTGAATTGTGGTAGGTCGTGGAAGATGTTTTGGTGAAGGTGTTCGACATTAAACGTGAAGAGTTGTTGCAGCTGGCTTGATCTAGTCTTGTGATTGTATTCAAATATGATCTTCATGTGAAAGAGTGTGTGTGTGCTATAGTAAAATGTGTGATATTTTTGTAAGTTAAAATCAATAATCTCTATTCATCCTTGCTTCAGTCAATGTTCTTCCCCCACAATGTCATTAATCATTACCGTAAAATCTTAATTAGACATTTTTTTCCTTATGAAATGTTTTTATTTTTATTTTTATGATATGTAAATTTATTACCACAATTAAACTTCTACTCATGTCATATTCATGTAGGAGAAGAACTAGTTTTGTTATACAAAATAGACTAATTTTTTTAACATAATAATATGTCTCTTAATAATATTTTATGGTTAAATAGACTAAATTTAAGATTAAATATATTTATATGTTTTAAGAAACTATACTACATTTTATCGTATAAATGAATATATGTATATTATGACTATTTCAATTCCATAGGGGACATGAATATGTTTTTAATTTTTGAAGTTTCTTTAAAAATAATTATATTTATTTTGACAACTTTTCATTTGTTTGATTTACCAGAACAAATAAATTTGTTTGCGGTAAAGTAAAAACCGCTATATAACGGAGATGACAAGACCCATCTCTCTCATTCCTAACGATCCCTCTTCTTTCCGTTACTCCGTCGTCGTTAGGTTTCTCTTCCGTTGACGGAGACAAATTTCTACGGCGCCGAATGTGGTCTTACCGACGAGAAAAACCCTAATTTCCAAAGGATTCGCAATCTATTTAGAAAAATTTCCCGAGCAATGAGCTTAGAGAGAAGAACACACGACGAAGGCGAAAGAAAGGATCCATCTTCCTCCTCCTCCTCCGACTCGTACGAGTTCACTCACGCCGCCTCCAAATCCGCAGTAGCTCAAATCTGCGAAACCGTCGGCTACAATCACTCCAAAGACCCCCCGCTCGAATCCCTAACCGGATTCGCGATCCAATACATTCTCCAGCTAGGTAAATCCGCTACTTCCTTCGCTAACCTAAACGGTAGAAGTCAGTGTAACGTCTTCGACATCGTCCTCGCTCTAGAAGACTTATCCTGTAATAATAATGTAGACGAGGAAAGAGTCTCTCTTGATAGCTGTTCCGCTCTCCGTTCCGTTAAGCTTAGAGAAATTATCAATTTTGTGAAATTAAGTGATGAAGAAGAAGAAGAAGGGGCTTTTATACAGACATTGCCTCGTTTCCCTGTGAGTGATAATAAGGTGAAGGGGAAGATGGTGGTTCCTAGTTTCGTTGAGATTGGTGAGACTCCACCTGGAAAGCATATTCCTTTATGGCTCCCGGCTTTTCCTGATCCCCATACGTATAAGGAGACACCTATGTGGGTTGAGAGGGGGTTAGATCCGAGGGGAGATAAGATTGAGCAGGCGAGGCAGAGGAGGAAGGCTGAGAGAGCTTTGTTGAGTCTTCAGAGGAAGCTTGTTTGTAGAATCTCTTCGGGTGGTGATCGTGTGTGGGGAGATATGGACGGTGGTGTTAAGGGAGAGATTAGAGAAGATGAGAGTGAAGTGACTGAGGAGGAGAGAAACGGAGATGGTTTATCAGTGGTGGAGGCGTTTGCTCCTGTCTTGGAGGCTGCAAGAGATGGGGGTTTCAGTGAAGTTGATGCTGAGTGGAAGGAGAAGAAGCCTGTTGCTCTTTCTAAGCTTAGAACTGTGAAGAAGTTTCTTGGAGAGCCGTTGGATCTGACTCTGCAGATGAAGGGTGAAGATAGAGCTATGTCGTTGCGTGAGGAAGATAGGGATGATAAAAGGAGGAGGGCAGAGTTTATTTTGAGACAGTGTATGGAGAATCCAGTAGACCTCAATCAGTTGTAAAATAAGTGATTCAGTTACAGGCTCTGTAGGGTAGTTCTCTGATTCAGTTACAGTCTCTGTAGTAGTGTAGTTGTTCTCCAAAATGTTCGGTAAAAGATTGTGATTTTGTAGCCTTTTTTCGCTTTACAGGATTATGTTATGATTACGACTTTTGCTACTGAAAATGGAATGAGAGTTTCTAACCAATCTCTTAAGCAGTGGATAGGTCTTTGTCTCGTAGAGATGCTTGTTTCATAACTTTTATCTTAGTGCGTTTTTCATTGTTCCATGAGTAGGGTGCCAAGAGTAGTGTTTGCAATAGTTTTTACATTGAGAGGACGAAGATGAAACAGCATGTTCTCTCTGAGCTCAGAACCGTGAAGGAATTCCAGAAGGTGAGAGATGAGAAACAAACCATCTTCGTTTGCTACATCACTACTTGCAGATCTTTCCTGTTATCATACATACGATTATCAAACGAAGCCAGGCTGTCTGAATTTTCTCAAGTTGACTTGTGTTTTTGTCTTGTTCACAAGACTTAGCAATCAGAAACAGTTTGATTGTTAAGTCTTGTGAAGGACTTTTGTAACTAGCCTAGGGTTGAACCACACTAGGGTCAAATAAGTCCTATGTTGCTTATTTGGACTGGTCTAGGATATATTGCTTCGGGCATTTGTTGAAAGTTAAAGACCTATCTCGTTAATCAAGTCTATTCTATGGTGTAGTTCTCTAGTGAATTGTTAAAGACATTTCCTTTAACTTTGCTAGGGGTTAGTTATCATATTCCAAGACCCATGATCTATTTGATCAAAGAATACAGAAATGCAACATCAGTCATCATAAATATTAGAATAGATGATTAATGTTGCATAAATATTAGATCTATTCTATCCTTATCGTTTACCCATGTTATCAGTATCTGTTTGATGATATACACTATACAGTATCTATTTCATGAGACCTCACTTGAATAAAACAATTTCCTCCAGAAGATTTAAGTGAAAGTGAGAATCCTTTTGTATATACCTCCTGGTGTAGTTGAGTAATACAAATAAAACAATGAGTAAAGAAGATACAAAAGAACCTACGTGCGTTTTTTATGTACACACAAGAAATGAAAAAAACTATAGTGACTTGTAGGTCAATTAGCACAAAGCACTGTCTCAGTACCAAACCACCTCAGTTCATCTTTAATCAATCATGCATCCCAGATTCTGGTTTAACATGAGATCTTGACCTCTGCGAGCTGAGCTTGCGCAGGAACTGCAACGCCTCAGTATATGAAGGATCCGAGCGGCTCAGCGGTTTACATGAGTTTATATGGTCTGTTGACTCCAACACCTGTTTCATCATCATATCCCCAAGTAAAACCAAACAGTTCTGGATGTTGCAATTATACTTGAAAGGGATACATATACACGTTACTTACAACAAGTTCACCAAATCCTGGGTATGCTGATTCAATTGGCACAATTTCCATCCGAAAAGCCCATCCTCCATAGCCTTCCACTATTGGTGTTACTTTTGTCTGCAGTTAGAGATGATAATTCGTCACCACAGAGAGTTATGTAAATGTTGCAATCAAAAGAGACTTATAAAGTGTGATCAACAACCTCACAGAAACTAAGCACTTCTACAATCCCTTTCTTGTGGAGCTGGCGAAGCAAGTCATTGAGCTCCACTAGTCTTGGAGAACCACTTCGAAGCTCCCCTATCTATCACAATTCACCATCCATAAGTTTGGTTAAACACCGTGAGTGACCCACAGGATTGAAATAAACTTAATAATGTAAATCGTATTACTAACAGATGGAGCTGGGCGCAACACAAGACCCATCCGCCATGGCATATCTGCTAACTTGCTACCAAAATGTGGGCAACTGTAGAATATCTGAAAAGAGGTCAAAGATGTTGAAATTAAATATTTTAATGAGTTAAATCGCTGATAGTAAACTAGAGATGGTATGAAGCGTTGATACATACAACTCCAGCGGTGTTCTTCACTAGTTTATCGAGTTTTTCTTCCTTTGCTTTATGTAGGATCTGCTTCACAACAAGGCCTCCCATACTACGAGATAAACGTTTCTTCATCAAGATTTATGTATTGATGTTCTAGGAGATTCACATTTAATTTTAATAAAAACCAAGCGAGAGCAACTAAGTCTGCATAAGGAAATATCTATCGACATGTTCAGACCTGTGAGTCACGAAAACAACAGGTCGATCTCCAATGCCTGCAGAGACCAACTTTTCCAATATCATAGAGCTAACCTCCTGCAAGTTGGCAAAAATCCATCATACAAAAGAACTACAGGCCAAATGATGATCTAGAGTACAAAAACGGAAGGCTGTATCTAATCAATAATCACTTTTCTAACTCTCCAGTAAACGTACCTGAAGAGGCAAGCTAGCTCCAGACCATTCCGTGAGGTTTGTCTGTATCAAAAAAAAAAATCAAATTGGCAACCATCAATGCACAGGGAAATAGATAACAACACAACATATAGATCAAACACAGTTACAAAGATCTCCATTGAGTGGGTATGAGCATAAAACACAGACATACCTTGTATTTAAGGGTAAACATGCGAGCTTGAGGGAAATCATGTGAAAGCCACTCACTCGGCCAAAATGTTCCAAGCTTTCCTGCTTCCTGGTCAATCTTCTCCACTAAGCCAGATTTGGTAGAGGACTTATCCTCAGCTATTCGCCAAGTTTTAAAGGGTCCACCACGCAATCCATGAAGAAATATTACATCAAATTCAGGATCATGCACACGTGAACCACTACTGGAGGGATCCATGGAGCTAGACGAATCGCTAGCATCAACGACATGATCTCTGACTGTATTAGCATCATTTGTTGATTCACCTTCACTTGAAGATTCGTTCTTCTTACCACTTTGTTTTTCTTTTTCAGGACACTTCCAATGGGGTAGTCCGGGATTAATTAGAAATATCATGTCTCCATAGCGAGGACAGTTACTATTCATGTTTGAGGTGTCTGGCTTGGAATTGTCACCATTTCCAGATCCACTATCATCTTGCTGATTGCAATATATGTTCAACAGAGAAGCCCTCGCATAACTTTGTGTCTTAGGGTCACTGCAACCGGAAATTCTTCCTCTTGCACAATCATCAAGCCATTTACACCATGTTTCATCAGCTAAAATGACCTTCTGGACTTGCGGAAGAAGCGAAAGAATGGTTAGCAATCTAGCAGCATGCCTTCGGATGTGTGCACTAGCTGGGACTTTCACACTAGATGGATCTTGCATATCTGTGATTGGAGATTCACCAAGACTATCAGGAGCACGCTCTCGAGCTTCAAGGGATCTGGATGCATCATAAGCTTCTATTGCACCTAGCTTTTCATAGTCATCACTTAGCAGAAAGCGCCTTAGCAAACAAAGAATACCCAAATCAACTATTTTGTTCTGGCATATAGAATCCTCAGCGCAAACTTCAGTCAGTGACTTGATTGACTTAAGGGTTGCCAATGCAGACTCTGCAGCATTAAATTTAGGGGGGCTGTCCTTCTTTAAATTCTTAATAGGTACCGCAAAAGGCTCTGAAAGGAGCAGATCTGCCAATGGAACATTATTGACAGAATCTGGGACGGTACCCAGTTGAGCCATGGCAAGATTAACAACAGCCGCTGCTAGCTGATTGGTTGACTGAGTAGCAGAAGCAACTTTTGACAGATCTACCTGTATATTACAAACATAATAGCTGTTATTTACTGTTAACCAAAAAATAGCTGTTACTTACTAAATATTAAAACCGAAAGATGTAACAAATTAAAAAAGCCATAACGATAATCAAATGACCACAAATTTTTCACCTTTGGTTTCTCAGTTTTAGGTAGGCTAGCTCCTTTAGCTGACAACGTCTTGCTGTAGTTCAAAATTTCATTCATTATAAGGGTTAACCATCCCTGAGAAATCGGGATAGAGCGTGGTCCGTAATCCTCAAAAGTGCTTGAAAGGATTCTTCTGGCCGAAGATTGAACAGTGTCAGATGCAACCTTTCCAAGAACCCACGAGAGTAGTATGCCTGACCATTTCTGACTCTCTTCAAGAGATAAATGCATCTCACCAGCACAGAGTAACTCAAGCGCCTTTGATAAACCTTCTTGCACAACTTTGTGCTTCTTCGTTTTCCTAGCACTGTCTCTCATCAGATGAAGACCCTTCTCCATTACCATCTTCCGTGCTTCGTCACTTTTGTCAACAGAAACCAAAAAGGCGGACAACGCAACTTGAGCCAAAGGGATATCGTCAGTTTTACTGGCATGTGAAATAGTGGCAAGCAAACTTGAACTCCAGTCGGAAACAGAATCGCTTAGTGGGAGATTGGGATCTTCCAACAACAACCGAGCCACCAAACTCCCATGCCATTTTACAGTCCTCTCTGGTGCCATTAACGCTGTCATGACAACTTGCCCGTCACGGTCAAGTTCTTGAATATGAGATCTATTTGTATCAGAAGCCATCGCCCAGTTTGCCAACGCCCACACAGCAAATGGCACCGCGACATGTTGACAATGTAAATCATCCCAAAGGCCAGGAATCACGGCCGATGACAAACTAGCTTGCGAAGAATTATCATGTTTACTTAGCAACGCAAATGCTTTAGGAATATCCTCTTCCACATTCGTATCAAGGCCACCCAAGGGCGCAAGTCCATTGGTTCTTGATAGTCCCAGAACCGTGGTCCCTTCAAGAATTTTAATTCCAATTCCCTTAATCCCGCTATTTCCATCGTCACTGTCATCATCTTTTTCTGGCTCATCAAAATACATACCACCTTCCTCAATCACTTGAATCGCGGCAGCAATATCTCTCATCTTAGCATTCCCAGGCAATGATGACTTAAAAGAAGTCTTTTCTATTGTGTCACAGTTGGAAGTGACGATATCCATAATGGCAGTGACAAGCATGCTCCTACCTTTCAAAGAATCAGAAATATCGAATGAAGAACGTCTTGAATGCTGCTCCCAAAGAAAAGCTATGTATCAATCGCAAAACACACACACAACCCGAAAAAGCATCACATAATCAACACTCATATGTTTCAAAAACACGTCTCATACACTTATAATAAATCCTATAGATACAGAAAACACATTGTTCTTGCCTATCAATCATTAAAATGCGTTTGGATTCTTTCTATATCCTACAATGCTATCTAGATTCTTCATCAGCTAACTCGTTAAAGTACACATTACATCTAAACTGAACAATTCTTCTATCATCATCTATACAATCAATCAGCTAATGCAGGACAAGACGAACCTTCTTGTTCTTTGGTTGACCCGAGAATATGAACTTAAGCAACTTAGGCACAGCATCAGGCCTTCCTAAAGCGTCTTTACGCACCGTCGGATCAGCAATAAGGTAAGCCAAAGCCCTAGCCGCTTCATCCTGCGCCCCAATTCTATCTCCAGGGATAGCAACCGTCTCCAACAACCAATCAACCACCGCACCACCACCAGCTCCAACAAGCGCAGCTCTACGAGCAGCATTCGCGGAAGCAATATCCGCCAGAAGAGCAGCCACACGAAGCTCAAACCCCGCACGAACCTCATGATTAGCCGACGAGAGAACCGACCTTAGCGACTGCCATAGAACCGAAGCCGCGACGCCGGTTTGTCTCGCGTGGTGAATAACTCTCCTCAACGAAGTTCCCGATTTCTGAACCCAATGCTCGATCGAATCGTAGATACGACTGTTTCCGTTACGGTCCCCGTCCGATTCGTCATGATCGGGAGTGTAGACAGCGGCGTAAGCAATCGCGGTGGATAAAGCGGCGGCGGAGAGGACGAAAACTGATTTCTTGGAGAAGGAAGGAGGCGGGGAGAGGGTGTGAATCGAGGAGGGAGGACGTGGCGATGGGTGATTGGGAGGAGAAGGTTTGAGATTCAAGGGGGAACCGGTTGGGGAGGGAGAAGAGGAGGAGAAAGTTCGGGGAAGACGGTGGAAGAGACGGCGGTTACACGATCGGAGAAGATTGTAACGGAGACGGAACATTTTTTTTTCTTTTTTTTTTTCTCTTCCTTGCGTTGTTTTCGGAATTTAAATTCCTTCCTCACGTTTTGTGATTTGAGTTGAAAATGTTGGATATGCGATTTAGAAGGGAAGATTCTGCGGGTATCCATTTTTGCTGGCTATGGTTTGAACTTGATAATAGTTATCAATTTAAATATGTTTAGATATAAAAGAAAATTAATTTATCTTCAAAGACAAAACAAAGCATATTTTAACTGCAATAGGAAGCAAAGAGACACATAACCAACCAACAAAAGGAAAAGATATCGTCCAAAGGGCTTGACTACTACTTTGTTGCATAAAAGTTTCTTAAACCTAACGTTACTAATATGTAATATGATATTTCATGGTCTTGATAGCTTTCAACAAAACGTACGCTAGTGACTGATTGTCATCTCTCAGCGAGATTGCATTCAGAGGAAGTGAGGACCGATGAGCTTTGCAATCTCCAAGAAGCCGACACGGTCTTTGCCTGCGAATATCTTCTTCAGCTTCTCGTCGCAGATTATAACCTTCTTGTCTTGTGGATCCTGAAGAACAACATTTACTCAGCTTAAGTCACCAAAGTTAACACAATTAAAACAGATTGCACATGACTTGAAATTAATCTGTTTGAGTATGTTGAAGACACACAAGTAATCGTCTAAGTCTAGGTTTGTTTCAGCTAAACATAGCTAAATTAATCATTAGACAGAGCAAGGAGTGGATGGGATACATAGGTAACATACGATTATCATCTAAAATACTTACAAAAGAAACTAGAAGCAGAACAACAATACCATTAGAAAACATTATCTATACTTACAAGCTGTCTCTTTGAATCAGTAAACAATTAGATAGACACTGTTCAACATTAGTCTACAAGAAACCCTAGAATTTCAACCACAATGAAACAACCAAAAACCCTAAACTCTCTTAAGCAAAACAAGGATAAGAGCACTTGAGAGATGGAAATGATATTAGCATACCTGAAGGTCGTGTTCCTTGATGTAGGCCCAAATGCGCTTAAGAGCCTGCGTGCGAGGAATCACCGACTCACCAACCACGTCCTGCATCTCGGGGGACACTGGTCGAGGCTTCATGATGCCACGTGGCTCCCGAGTCTTGGTGGCTGACGGCTCGGAGGACGCCGCCGTCGCGGATGTCACGACTCGCACCATGCGCAGGTTTGCCGGATGAGGGGAAAGAGAGAGGGACGGCGAGCTGCGTAACGGCGCCGTTTTGACGCAGAGGAAGGTAGAGAAGATTCCAGTAGAAAGAGCCATCGTCGTCGTTGTGAGGGAGGAGGTGGATTTGGGAGAGAAGACAGAGAGGTTTTGCGTTATCCGTGTCTGAGGGCACACTCGACCTAAATGTTTATTTATATCTATTTTTTTTCTTACAACCTTCTTTTATTATAAGACAACCGGTTTAGTCTTAACCAGACCATGTTGTCTGCTGCTGGTCTGGTGTGGTTTTAATATTGTTATCTCTTAATGTTACAGTTTCCTCCTCTTGACTACACTTCTCTTGAGATTTGTGGTAATATACATAGCAATAGTATTGGTCAAAAAAGAAAAAAAAATACATAGCAGTAGTATATTACAACAAATATTCATCTACCAAAATCATACATTTTCCGAACACACTACAGTAGTTAAAAGTTTCCTTAGCCTCCCATGCTATTTGAGGGGTAACAATGGAGACCACAAGATTGTTCTTCTATATTATCTCTTGGTGCTAGCAAATTCACCTGCAAAATCATTTTTATTTGCCATAAAACTCTGTTAAAAGAGGTTTAGTTGATAAAATTAGGAACTGTCTATGTGTGTTTTAAATCAGGTACCTTGACTATTTCAGACACTGAGCTAGGTCGCGTGTACGTAGCCAAAACACTCATGTTAAAATCCTGCAAGATGAGAGAAACCATGCATATGCACAAGTCTTGAAACACATTCTTCTTATTAAAGGATTAAAAAAACAATAGTCAACTCACCCTGAAGGGATCACCGCGTAGAGACTGAACAAACATCATGGAGAATTCCGAGCCGTTTCCCTGCAAGCCAAACTAAATCACATAGTCAGGTCAATACTCTCTCTCTCTCACTACACAAAGCAGCTCAGATTCATGCACTTAAAGATGTAATACCTCTAGAGATACATCCCTAAGGCGTCTTCCAGTTTGTGCACAACAAACACGGACCATACTCTCATCGCAGCTTCCACTAATAATGTAGTCATTACCATTCATGTAATATGATCGAGTATAGTTCATGGAGCTTCCTGTTGGGACTATGTCAAAATTCAAATGGAGCCTTCCATCAACTGTCAACAGCTGCCTCACCTAGAAGAATAATCAATTGAGTTAAAGCTTCATAAGTAAACCTAAAGGGTCGATGAGAGTGTACCTCGTTGTCCACGGCTGATGTTAGAAGATAACGATCATCTGGAGAAAAGCAAACCATCACGTTTCCTTTGTTACTAGAAGCCGTGTAGCAAGGCTGTGATGGCTCTTGTCTCAAATCCCATAGCTTAACATCTTTGTCGAAAGAAGAAGTCGCGAAAACTGACGGGGAATGGTTCGAGAATTTCACCACGTTGATGTGCTCTTGATGCATGTTAGCGAAAACCTGGAGGCGTGTTCCGCTACCAATGTCATACAACGCCACGTCCTTTGAGTATCCGCTAGCGAGAAACAGTTTGTCCGTGGAATTAACATGAACTGAGGTTAATTGGTCAAACTCATCAAAGGTAACTGAACCAGAAGTGGTGTGAGTGGTTGTATTAAGTGTTGATGACGCTTTTTGGATGTCATATAACTTCAATGAGCCGTTGGCTGAGCCAGCTATAACCTGAAAAAAAAATACAAAACTTAACTAACACAAGGAAAATAAATGAAAGCAGCTTGAATTTTTGTAATCCTACCATTGATGGATAGGTCTTGAGCCAGCAAAGTCCCAAGATACTACTCTGAGCTCCATGAGATGGAATGTAACGTAGAATCTTCCCGCTTTCATGATTAAGAACAACCACTTCTCCGTCCAAAGTCCCATACACCATGAGGCCGGGATCAAGCGGGTGGTATTCAAACTGCCTTGGACTTAAACTCCTGCTTTCATCTTGAAACGTACTAGAAGGAATCGAATGCAAGAGAGGCCAGGCAGACGATCCCATCCTAGCCGCACAAAGAGACCTTGTGTAGGAACTCTGAGATCTCCATTTGCTTGATCTTGTCTCACGCTTCTCGAGGACTCTAACTACATTCTCCTTGTTCTTTCTCTTGTACGGTAAGTGCTCAAAGTTTTCGGAATATGTTTCAGTGGCCCTGTCTCTGTCACTCTTTCTGATAGCCAAGTTGTCCAACACTTTGAGTTTGGGAAGAGAGTTTATCATGTAGATCCTGTAATGCTTTTTGGAACATATAGGTGATGCTTTAGTGGAAATGTACTTCAACCCTACGTCGTTGGGTTGGTCCAGTATCTTCCCTTTCCTAACCTGCGAAGACCATATAAAGAAGCTTTAACCATTCCCATTGTTTTGTCTCATCAATGGACTTTTATTACAAACAAGAAAGCATTGATATGTGTTTTTTACTTGTTCTCTCATGAATACTTCTGCATTCAACTCCATATGTGAATCCAAATCATCTTGCTCAGGATCCATCTGTTCAAAAACGCCTGAAAAGTCTGATTCACTGAGAGAGCTTGATTCATTAAATGTGTTTTCATCAGACGATGATTGCGGTTTAAGTGGGGTAGAAGAGTCACTGCAACAAATCCAAATTTGGAACCGGAGCTCCTCAAGAGAGGGGAGTTTCAAGAGAGCAGCACTAGCTGTCCAAAGATCAGAGACAACAGTGTCGCACATAGAAAGACAAGTCAAGTTGGGCATGCAAGAAAAACAGCCTTCCCCAAAAATAGTTACACGGTTGGAATCGAGTACAAGGGTGTGAAGCTGTGCGAACTCTCCAACGATGTTAAGCTTACGGGAATGCAATGACCTCACATTCAAAACTTCGCAGGTCAAACCCTGAGAGAACACGTCCCTGAAAACAAAACAAAAAACAATCAAAGCTTAAAAAATAATTCAAAAAGAAAAGATGAGGAAAAAAGACAATTGCTTACCGCCAGAAGCTTGTCCCAAAACAATCATGTACATCAACAAGACGAAGTTTTTGATTGACGGAACGTATCAAAGACAATACATACTGATCTTCCAAAGAACAAGAGGATCTCACAGAGATTTCAATCCCTTCTACCTCAGATGCGTTGATCTCATTGCATAACTCAAGAAGCGGGTGAAAGTCATCGTACAACACTCTGTCAACTAAAATGTTCATAATGCATCTTTGGTTCCTTGACTTTTTATCCTCCGCCTGAAAGGTTCATTCGATTAGTAAAACACTAAGATTAAGCTAAAACAGAAGCAATAAATTGAGGAAAAGGTAAGCAAACCTCAAAGAAAGCAGATAAAATGGAAGTGTTGGGTACGGTTCCATGCTTCTTGCACAATTCGATGTACCTAAAAACCAAAGATAAACACATTGTAACTTATTAAAGATCCTACTTAACTTCCATCAAGAGATCTCTGAGCCAAGACTAAACGAAATTACTCAGAATTCAACAAATTAATCTGATCCAGAAAGCACCCTGAAGCAGATATGTTCACCCCCACAAGTAAAAGAAGAAGACTTAACAGAAAAGGAAAAAAAAACTTTCCTTTTGGGTCCTTAGAGAGAAAATTATAGAAGGAATTAAAACCAATCCTTAATCAAAGAACGAGGCAGAGATTCAGACAACGAACACCAAAAGGAAAAAAGAAGTATCAGGTTTCAGACACGATCACATCTCAATTTTTTTTCTGTCTTAATTCAAAAGATTAGACATAGAAAAAAGTGAGTAATAAAACGAATCAAAACTTACTTCTCCTCAAGAGTGGCGATTTCAGTGAGCATGGCCATTCAGACAAATCTTAAGATTGAACTCTCCGACCACTTTTTGTTTTCTTCGATGTTATCACAAACACTTTTCTACACGAAAGCAGCCATGTATATATATATCAAAATAGACTTTACACCTAAAACCTGCCACCTGGTGTAGAAGCTATTTCAATTAGGTGCCTTTAACAAATAAAGTATGACATAAATTACCAAATTCTTGGAAGCACCGTAACGTAGTGGTTAAGGTCTAAAGGCTTCTAATTCTATACTAGATATGGGGTTCAAATCTCAGGTTATGCAGTTTCTATTAAAATGGTTTCAACTTCCGGAGAAGATGAATAACAAATTATCCAGATTGGAGAAAAAACTTACAAGAGATCTTCAGCATGGCGTAAGGAGTACCGTCAGGAATGGATCTTATAGAGCAGCTCAGGGTGATGTAGTTAGACGTGAATCTGCATAAGGCAGGTAGAATTGTTGTGGGATGTGATATGGTCTATGTAACCAGTGTTAAAAAAAAAATTACAAAATTCAGTTTCACAAAAAAAAAAAAAAGTATGACCATAAATTAATTTAGAGGGAATCAAGGGTCCGACTTTTAAAATATTTAAAATATCTATGGTTTGGGCTGGTTCACTGGTTAAATATCTCTTCATAACCGGTTTAAACTAAAAACGGCGTCGTTTTAAGGAACCCGAGATCTCTATTTTGTGCGTCTCTCTCTCCCGATTTCATTCCTCAGCCTAAAAACTGAATCTCTCTTTCAAATTCAAATAACGAATCTCCGTCCAACAGATCTCGCCGCCGTTTCACAATGGATAATCCTATACAAGAGGTACCAATTCAATGCGGGCTTTCGAATTGCTATGAATGAATGGTTACACTTTCGCGAGATTTGGATTTGTGAATTTTTTTTTTCATGGCAGATTCTGGAGAAGCAGCTTCTGACGGTGGCGAAAGCTATGGAGGATAAGCTCGACGAGGAGATCGCGTCGTTGGAAAAGCCTGACGAGGACGATCTGGAGGTGTTGAGGGAGAGGAGGCTGCAGCAGATGAAGAAAATGGCTGAGAAAAGGAAACGTTGGATGAGTCATGGACATGGAGAGTACACCGAGATCCCTTCCGAGAAAGACTTCTTCGCCGCCGTCAAGGCTAGCGAACGCGTCGTCTGCCATTTCTATCGCGAGAATTGGCCCTGTAAAGTACGAATTTTCGCAATCCTTTTGTTTAAAGATTCATACTTTCTGAGAGTTTCTCATTGTCTTGTATGTTTTAGGGGAGAAGAGATTTAGGGATTTGCTAGGTTTAACCTTTCCTTTGAAAAAGTTATGTCCTTTTTGTGTTACTGTAAGGTTCATGTATGGTCTTGATCAGAGATGTTAGGACAGAAACTTGTCTCTTGTCTGTAGCTACTATACATACATCATACATGTTAGCAAAAGATTCAGTAGTGTATATTTATAAAGAGAAATCCTTTTTTAACTGATTACCTCATTTTTTAAAGATTCATAATTTCTGAGAGTTTCTTATTGTCTTGTATGTTTTAGGGAAGAAGAGATTTAGGGTTTGCTAGGTTTTAGCATTTCCTTTGAAAAAGTTATCTTCTTTTCGTGTTTTTGTTAGGTTCATGTATAGTCTTGACGAGAGATGTTAGGAGAGATATTTGTCTCTTGTCTGTAGCTTACTATGCATATATGTTAGCATAAGATTCAGGAGTGTATTTTTATAAAAGAGAAATCTTTTGTTTTGCAGGTGATGGATAAGCACTTGGGTATATTGGCAAAGCAGCACATTGAGACACGTTTTGTGAAGATCCAAGCTGAGAAAAGTCCATTCTTGGCTGAGAGGCTCAAGATTGTTGTTCTTCCCACTCTTGCCCTCATCAAGAACACTAAAGTTGATGATTATGTGGTATAATAATAACAAGCGAAATACTCCAAAACAAGCTCTGTCTTTTGGTTATGACCTTTAGAATATGAATTGTTTTGAATGTTGTTGGTAGGTTGGGTTCAATGAGCTGGGAGGGAAAGACGATTTCAGCACAGAGGATCTGGAAGAGAGGTTAGCTAGAGCTCAAGTCATTCATTACGAGGGAGAATCATCTCATAAACCAAAGTCTACCACACAAACCAAGAGGAGCGTAAGGCAGAGTGCTCGTTCAGATTCTGACTCTGAATAATCCAAAAGTTTTATCTTAACAAACGTTGTCGTCACTATCTTCAGCCTTTTTTTGTGTCTCTGCTATGTAAAAGAGGAATATATACGCGCTTGTTCGTGAGTTATATTAAACGTATTAAGTTGTGATGCTATTCCTTCGTTCTAATATGGATTTTGACCTTCCCTTATATATTTAGGACAATGTGTTGGGAGAAACAAGCCTGTCTTGGTTATAGGTAGAGAAACTCTGAACGAGAATCCAAATACTGTACAAGGAGTAACGTCAAGTTAAATTAGACAACAAAGAGGTTAGAATTAGACAACAAAGAGAAAATTTATTAGCCTTACAAGAACAGACAGTTTCTTCTTTTTTTGTTCAATCATCAATTTATATTAACCAAATGGGAATACATGATTACTACCTCAACAAATTTAAACGTAATCTACAACCGACATGATTATTTTTTGGTGGATTTTTCACCACATCGGAACGAGTATGCTCACTATCTGAGAGGAACCGTCCTTTCACCCCCAAAAATTATGATTAATCAAAAAGAAATTATAGTGAATGTATCCAACTTATTAACTGAGTAGTCCAAACCCAAATCATTATAGGCCCACGTTACCAACTTAAAGCCCATCAAGCTCTTAAGTCAATGTCTAAAAGATAGTTTTGTTTCACCGGTTGATCGCAAAAGTGAAACCGACGGAGAAAAAAAAAAAAGAAAGTACCAACATTTCACCGGCGATTCAGATGGAGACGGAGGTCGATAAAGAGATTTTAAAATCTGCCGGAGCTGAGCTTCTTCCCAACGGACGCAAAGGTTTACGCATCCATGACTGGGAGATCGAAACCATCCGTGGCACGATTCTCACTTCTCTCGCTCATGAACAGTAATCAAATCTCTATCTCTCACCTCCAATCATCTATTAGTGTCTATGCATTGTTTTAAGTGTTAATTGGATTTGAGAACTGAGTAGCTCTCAAATAGTAGTCATGAATGTGAATGTGTGTTGTTTTGATTTGTGATACAGGTGGGAAGAGAAGCTTAAGACTTCTCATTTACCTGAAATGGTGTTTGGTGAGAATGCGTTGGTTCTTAAACACTTGGGAAGTAAGACTAAGATTCATTTTAATGCTTTTGATGCACTTGCGGGTTGGAAGCAAGAAGGGCTTCCTCCTGTTGAAGTTCCTGCTGCTGCAAAATGGAAGTTCAGGAGGTAATGTTTGACATTTAAAAATCTGCTTTGTACGTAGTTATGTCTGATACGTCTTTGATGTAATTGCAGCAAGCCGTCTCAGCAGGTGATATTGGATTATGATTACACTTTTACAACGCCTTACTGTGGGAGTGGAGTAGTTGAGAAAGACCAGGAAACGGTTTGTGTTGCTCTCATGTTCTGCTTATTATGCGATAATCAATTAAGTGTTGGTTTCGTGTTTGTTGATGTATGCTGCTTTTGATGTGAAGCAGGTTGGGGAAAAATCAAAAACTGAGGGGGAAGGCAGTCTTAAGTGGGAGAACTGTGAAGAGCAGATTGATTTGGCTGCTCTCTCACTTAAGGAACCTATTCTCTTCTATGATGAGGTTTGTTCTCTACTTGATACAATCACAAAGTAAATACTTTCGTCCTCCGTTACATTCTTCGGCGCCTTTTGATATATTTATTTCTAACCCTTCAGGTAGTTTTGTATGAAGATGAACTGGCTGACAATGGAGTGTCACTTCTGACCGTGAAAGTGGTAAATACAGCACAACTCTTTCTTAACATTCACATTTTTTTCATAATGCTTTTGTTTTGATACAAGTTATGTGTTAGTAACAAAGGATAACATGTTTGTTTTCTTCAGAGGGTCATGCCAAGTTCATGGTTCCTCCTCTTACGATTTTGGGTGAGTCAAATCAGGATCATAAAACACATATCATTATGCACCAGTGCTTGGTTCTTCATTAACTGGTTATGATACTTTGATTGTCATCATCCATCCGTTGCCTCTTTACAGCTTAGAGTTGATGGTGTACTTATGAGGTTGAGAGAGACGAGAATGCATTATGTCTTTGGCAAAGGGGAGACACCCACAGTTCTTCGTGAAAGCTGTTGGAGAGAAACAACATTTAAATCTCTATCTGCGGTTAGTTTTTCTTCACTTTTAGGTCAGGTTACTAAATTTACACCAAACCTAGAACGGCTGGCTGATGATAGACATAACCATTTTAGATCACCAAACAATTACATAATCTTTTTGTTACGAGACAAGAACATACTGCAATGTTTCTATGGTTAGTTAATATATAGAATGTCATGCGATATAACTCTTGATTATATTTATGCAGAAAGGGTATCCAGTTGATTTAGCAGTCTATAGCGACCCAGGCCCCATCAGTCAGAGGCTTCCGGTGATTAAGCAGATAACACAGAAACTGAAGATTCCTCATAAAGTGTAAGCTGTTTATAAAGTTGCAAGTATGAAACACGTACTCAATGTTTAGTGTTTACTATGGAGCTTGTTGATGTAAGGAGTTACTTAACCGATTCCTGGATTTCATTTTCATGTGAACACTCGAACCGTTTCATGTTATACTTTCATTGTTCCCAAAATACTTTTCTCATCACTGTTTAGAGATTATGATTCGTATTACACAATAAGAGTTATTCCATGTCTTAAAAGTGAAAACGAAATTACACTTGTAAAAAATGTTCTTTTATTTTATCTCCATTTTCAGTAAATGATAACCAAAGGAATGTAACAATGGTTATTCAGAATTATACTGAGATACCTGAAGCATCAAAAACAGTGTTGTCAAAAGTGAAGACAAAATAATGTATTAAGCTTTTTTTTGGTTCCTAATGAAAAAAGTGAAAACCAAATAATGTATTAAGGTTTTTTGGTTCCTAACGAAACAAACACAACACGACCAATGTGTTCTTCTTGGGACACCCCTCTTTTCAAGTCTCCATCTGCATCAAGATGAATTGATGCAACACACTTCGTACATTCAAGTACCTGCCATCATTAAGTCACAGACAAAAAGCTTTGGATCAGAATCAGACCCAACTCATATCAGCTATTCAAAACTCTACAAGTCCCTATTTGTGGCAAGTTTTTGATACCACGAATGAAGTGTACTCTTTTGGATGGGACACGGACGTCTATCTCTATTGATCTAAAAGGCGAAGCATGGATTTGTCCTTTTTAATGCATTATAACAGAATAACCCACTCATGTAGTTTGATGGAGAAGCATAGCGATAAGCTTTATAATGAAGATACTTAACTGGATATTTAAATGTACTAAAATGAACAAGATGTTGTTAAGTCTTAAGTTTCAGGTTCCTAAAACCGTTGAAAACAAAAACTAAACGTAATAGACAAAGAAACCTACAAAGCAGTAGCACCACTCTTGACAGCAACTGAAAATCCACTTCCATCACCCATCTTTTCCATTCCCTATCAAATCCCAAACCCAATATTTTCTTAACACAAAAATACTTAATTACGAGTTTAAAAAAAAAAAGGGGTTTTATTCCACTTCACGACGAAAAAAAGTAACACACAATGTTCCAACATTAAACAAGAAACTCAGAAGTAAACAAAAAACATGTTTAGATTGCTCTTCGCCACAATGAAACCCTAAGAAGAGTAAAACTCACAAAAGGAGAGTAATTAGCGATCTGGACAAGTGCGTTGGAAGGTACCGTTAGGGAGTTCGCAGAAAGCTCGCACGTTGAGATTAAGGTGTGAGATGAGTCGAGCTGAAGCCACCACATTGTGCAGAGGCAATAGTGACTGTGTGCATCCAAGCTCTCCCAAATTCCTATCCAACCATCAAAAAAACAACACAAGATTTTTACAAAACTTATCCATTTTGTTCATATCTCAATCTGATAAATGAACATTTTCGGTTCTTCTTCTCAATTACAGATTTACACTGTAATCATCTACCAAAAAATTTAAGCCTTGTGTCAACAATAACAACATTCATGTTTGAAATGGATACAAAAGAGCTGGTGAAACCTTGGATTTGTGAAAGAAGCGAATCGGCGGCGAGGTAAAGAGGACTGGGTAGGACGGAGACGCGGAAGAGTTGCTGGGGGAGATCGGAGAGACGGAGCTCTAGCGGTAGCGGAAACGAAAGAACGAGCAGCAGATCCTGCACTGCGCCAAGCCATTGTTTATCTAGCTACTTGTAGCAGAAGCAACAAAGTTATCAGATCAATCCCGAGGAAGAAGAAGAAGATAGTTGTTGACTCAAAACAAGCAAGACCAAAAACCCTAAACGAGAAGAAGAGAGAGTTACTGAAAATAAAATGGGCTACAATTTTAATGGGCCGCATATAGACTACTAACACCTAAACAAAGGCCCATTACACAAGAAATTACAAACATGGATGCTAGTAACAAGGCATACGCAATTTTGACTCTGTTTTTTCACACATTTAGGGTGCAGTGGCAGGAGCCTTCGTAATTCGTATATGCTAGAATTAGTTGAATATGAATTTTTTTTTATATATGTTCATATATATCATGTTAATATTGTTATATAGATACAATATATAGATACCAAGATACAATGAAAGTAATGACACAATATATAGATACCAAGATACATTACTTCATCGTAAACTTGTTTCGTCGATACATGTGGGTTTACACTTGTACATAGCTCGTTGAACTATGAACAAACAATGCTTTTTCCTCTTTCTTACATGAATTAAACATATGATGACAAAAACAGATGAGAATCAACATCTCGTCTCTTACTTCTATAAATTTTCTGTCCGAATGCATTTCAAATCTTTGTCAAAAGTAAAGAGTTTCCCTGGCGATAATGTGGTAGCCACAGAGTTTCCTCTGTACACTATTCTGGTAGACACACTTTGTTCCGACGAAAGACCAAACTCCACAAGGTTTCCTTCCATCCACCTTATATTCACCGTCACAGCTCCCCTTACCCTTAGCCCTTTCACATAACCGTTAGGCCATTTATCAACAGGAAGCGCAGGTAGTAAATACAGATCTTTCGTCGTGCTCTGCACTAACATCTCTGCTACAGCTGCTGAGAATCTGACCAATAGAAAAAAAGAATCATATACAAGTACATTAGTATTAGAACTGATGACGTGCTCTGACATATTTTAAAGGTTTAGTGTTTGCAATAGCTTGTCCTGACTTACCCAAAGTTGGCGTCGATTTGGAACGGCGGGTGAGCTGTGAACAAGTTATTATAGAGTCCTCCTTCATAGTTACGTTCGTTTAACGGATCCACCAGATCAAAAATATGAGTAACCAGTCTATACGCATGCTCACTATTGTGAAGCCTTGCCCACAAGGCAGCTTTCCAAGTGGTGGACCACCCTGGTCCTTCCTCTCCTGCACGAATCAGTTCAATATTTACATATTGCGACATTTTCGGAATGAGAGGGGGGAAATAAGAAAGAATTTATACATACCTCTTTTCTTGAGTGATACTTCCACGGCTTTAGCAAGTTCCGGAGTCTTTTCAAGTGTGATTGAGTGACCAGGGAACAGACCAAAGAGATGTGAAACGTGTCTATGATGCACCTCTGGGTCCTCAAAGTCTTCTGCCCATTCCATTATAGAACCGTCCTTTGATAGTCTAGTGGGTGGAAGGTTTGCTTGTGCAGCAATGACTTTTCCTATAAGAGTTTCATTCGTTTTTCCCAAAACCTGTTGATAAAAAAAACAGAAGAAAGAGTTAACCTCAGTATCAATGAGACCATGATGCCTTCCGTTGATTTTTTGTTGCTATACCTCTGATGCAGAAACAATAGCAGAGAAGACTTCTTTTACAATGGCAATGTCCATGGTTGATGAGTAGCTAACACTTGCAGGTTTGCCATCTGGAGATGTAAACATATGCTCAGGGGATGTTGATGGATTTGTCTGAAGATACCCGTCTTTGCCTTTGATTAGCCAGTCCAAAAGAAACGATGTGCATCCTTCCAACAATGGATATCCTTTCTTTTTAAGAAATTCCTGGAAATTAAATAAACAAAGTAGAGGTTCAAACAAAGAGTCTGGTTAACGAAACTGAATCTGAAAAATCAGTAAAACTGGTAGGACCCTACCTTGTCCATTGTGTATGTATAATGCTCCCATGCATGAGTGCAGAGCCAAGCTCCACCCATTGGCCAAAGAGCCCACACTGCCTCACCTCTATCCGGTGAAGTTTTCGCCCATATGTCTGATACTTGATGTGCCACCCAACCACTTGCTCCGTAGTTCACCTATATGCCCCATCAAAATCATCATTGATACATTCAACAAACTTCACACATTGATGTCAACAATGTAACGACCATCAATACAGAAAGGATAGGAACTTACTTGTGCTGTCTTGCGGCCATTGATAGCTAAAGCAGACATATAATCAAACAAAGGTTCTTGGCATTCCCGGATGTTAGCAGGAAGAGAATGCCAATAGTTCATCTGGAGATTAATGTTCAGGTGAGGGGCACCACTGCACATACCGCATAAGAAGCCAAAGCGAGTTAGTGACACATCAAGTGAAGAGAAATAATGAAGAAGAGGGGAAGAAAACGCACTCCCACGGCGGCTGAATGTCTCTGTTCCATATCCCTTGCAAGTTAGCCACCTGAGTTCCAGGTCGTGAAGAAGATATAAGAAGGTACCGACCATATTGGAACAAAAGTTCCACCAACGAAAGGTCTTCATCCTTTCTAAACGATCTCACCCTTTCAGCAGTTGAAACTCCTTGTTGAACTGTTGTATTACCTCCACTGCCAGAGAGTTGCAGAGAGACACGGTTGAAAAGCTTCTGATAATCTCCCAAATGACGACCATAAAGATCAGAGTATGAATATCTCTGAACTGAGCTGATTCTGTTAACGCATTCCTTTGAAGGATCTCTCTTAGAATCAACCGGCATGGTAAACGGACCGTCAAAGTTAGAAGCAGCCGTCAGAACCAGAACTGCCCAGTCAGCTTTATCAACACTTAGTTTCTTGCCACCTAAGGAAGACACAGAGCCACCACTGCTTACCCTCACTTCAAGAACGGCAGCAAACTGCAACCCTTTGTGATCATCATAAGGTATATTAGTGGCGTTGATGCTTTTACTCAAGTTCACAGGAAGTCGCTTAGGGCGACAACTTCCCTGCATCAGAATCTGATTCCCCTTAGTCTCCGAGTGATGGTGCAAGTCACTGTCAAAAGACGCTGTAAAAGAGAGAGACCCCGGTTTGCTCGCGGAGATCTTGACTACAATCACTTGATCCGGATTAGAAGCGAAAAACTCTCGAGAGTACTCCACAGCGCCAACGGAGTAGCTTACTTTAGCTAGTGCTGTTTCCAAATCGAGTTCACGGCGATAAGAGTCTTGACTGTACTTACGATGTGAACTATCAAACTGTAGATTCAAATCTCCTACTAGCTGATAAACCTGTAGAGAGAAGAAACCAAGAGCAAAAGGATTAAATCTTTAAAACAAGAACTCTAAGAAAAGAAAAACATTAAAGACATTATTATTACATCAGAAGGATGGCCTGATAATTTGACAGCTTCTGAAGTAGCTTCAGCGTATTTTCTGTCATCAACAAGCTTCCTAACTAGTGCTAATGCTTCTGGAGCATTCGGGTTCGTGTAATCAGCTGGTACTCCAGTCCAGATTGTGTCCTCTGTCAGATTAAAAACACTTCAGATCCATAACTATTAAAAGAACACAACAGAGCAGCAAAAACAAGAATCAAGAACGTCTTTTTATGAAGCAAAAGTGTTGTCTTTTAAGCATTTTATTACACAAAAGTCTAATAAGAGATCCTGTTTCATTAAGGTGATTGGTTATGATCTAATAAGACTATATGTCCCAAAGCATAATCCCATGTTCTGTCATGTCAATAAATGTTTCCGAGAAACAAGAGTCTTTGATCTGACACAGCATATAAAGTGTGGAGCTTTATTTATTACCAACATCCCCAAAAAAAAAATATAAACGCAACAACAGAGAGATACGAATAAAGCGACGTCGTTTTTACACTTACCATTGATGTTAAGAGTCTCTGAGGAGACGCCGCCCCAGATCGTGGCTCCGAGACGGCCATTGCCGATGGGAATGGAGTCAGTCCAGTTTCGAGAAGGCCCATTAAACGTCAGCTTCAGAGGCCTGGAGAGATCGTGGCCATTCATTAAACGCCTCACCGGATTCCTTCCTCCCTCACAACATGTTATGGTAATACTCAGTAGAAGAAGCAGAAGAAAGGTATAATGGAGGAAGAAGCTCGACTTCTCCGCCATTGCTGCTGCTGTGTCTAGAGAGGAGAGGAGCTTTCACTGGTGAAGATTTTGAGAGAGAGAGAGAGGTCTGGTCCTGAAGTAGATATATAGCACTGTCCTCGATTAGTGGATGTCAATTATTTTACGCGTTTTTTCTATCCGATTATTCAATTTGTCAAAAATCTATTAATTATTAATCTACTAACAGGATTCATAAGAAAAACTAATAATTTAATAAATACTTTATATAAAACTAAAACCGTTTTATAAATATTTTCTCACATAGAGTTGAAGCTAGAGCAAAAAAAAATAGTATTTTCATCTCTTTTTTTTTATTAATATCATGTATCTCCAATTTATGGAAAAAGTTTAAACTAATCTTTAAATTGAGATATAGTCAAAAAAATAAGCATTCTTTTTAGGTATGCAAATGAATCGGAAGATATGAGTCCATATTTATGTAGATGTCTAGAAATAATATAATTTAATTTCACGCAATAGGTAGATCGAATTTAAAATATATAAACGTTTAAATCTTTCCTCCTTATCACGATTACATTGTCCTGAAATCTCTATAAAATTTACTATCACATATTTTCTCAAGAGTGTAATTTTTAGATTGAATATGTATCTTTCGTATAAATATTGTATTTTTAATTGAAATTTACTATCTCGATTTTATTTTGTAATGACAAATATATTTTATATTTAATACTCCCTCTGTTTCATTATAAGTGTCACTTTACAGCTGTGCACATGGATTAAGAAAACAATTAATTTTACATATTTCCTATATAAAAACACAGTTACCCATACACCTAACCATATTTTAACCAATAGAAAAATAAATTACATAATAAAATTCATAAATTTTGCATTGAAAACCGAAAACGACACTTATTTTGTAACGCAAAAAATTCTCTACAATGACACTTAATACGAAACGGAGGGAGTACGATACTAGTGCCAGTTAATATGAAGTGGACAGAGTAATAACAAACCAAAGTTCGAAGGCCATTTATTTTAGTAATGATTTTAATCCAAATAACGAGACCACAAATGCAGATAAAGAATGGAACGTGTTGAATGTAACCAAATAAGTCCATAACTAGGATCCAAGAAAGGAGTTTGTCCAATACATAATCAAATCCATTTCTAGAGTAAATAACGAGGACGAAGAACATCAACTACCTCACTCCAGTTCACTGTTAACCATGCTACTAATTACGAATGATAAAGACCAAATTAACCAACCAGAATTTGAGCGTTTAATATTTTATATGCTACTAATTACGAATGATAAGGACCAAATTAACCAACCAGAATTTGAGCGTTTAATATTTTATAACCACCGACTTTCGTTTTCTGATTAATTTATTATATAAGAAAAATAATTCTATTTTTTCTATCTAGTTTGTCCAAAGATATAAAATAGACACATGATGTTTATTGTAGCGCATAATCGTTTCTTCACATAGAAGAAAAAAAAGATACAGAAAGATCTTAGATATATATAGTATATAGCCATCTCATATTTCACGTATACTTGCACGATCATGTATTGGTTGTCGAAGATATTGATCTCACGTGTTATTATGATTCTCTTTATGACATGAACTACACTCCTTCAAGTTTCAACACACAAATGCTTGTTCACAACATGGAAAATATCTACCGAGAGGTTCGAGGATAATTTTTGCTAAAACGAAGGTTTTGGAGACGGAAACTCTACATTCGGTAAAATCTTAACCCAACCCAGATAAACTATACATACCGAGTGTGTTATTTCTAAATGATAATATTTGATGTTGATAAGAAATGATAATGTTTATATTTCAATGTAATTTCAGGTATTTTTTGTTATGTTTTGCAGTGATATTCAGGTTGTAGGGTTAGAATTTTCTAGAGTGGTTTAATAAAGAGTTCAATCATAATATGTTCTCGTGATAGATGGATTAAAACAAAACAAAAAGGTCGGTCTTGTACATTGGTTACATTGTCTTTATCAAGAATAGAGTACAAAAAAAAAATAAAAAATAGAGAACAGAGGCACATGACTTCTTCGAGGCTTGTTTTTTGCAACTTGTGGTATTGACATATTGTTGGGCTTTACAATCTGTTAAAGGATTTGGTTTGTTAATGTATCTGCTCCAGCTGTTTTCCGTTGGAACTTGGAACCAAACCTAGTTAAGAAAATTGATTATCACACGGTTGAGATAAATAAATTTAATGATTAGTCTTATCAAGCTGCTTCGTGTAAAAGACATATCTTCAGATTATTGATGCTGTCACCGAAGTATTATTGTTTATACCGAGACCCGTTTCGTCATCTCACATGCAAAACTGATTTGCTGAATATTTTCTCCCCCATTTTTAAGGGATAGCTTAACATGCCTATGCCATAATGCAACCATCGAACAGTAGAGTCTGTTGGAAAAAAATGTGATATTTATTAAAATCCCGTATCAAATATCTTAAATAAGATATTCTGATGTAATTTTTTCATGATTTATATATCAGAAATAACCTACAAATTCAGGCACTCTTCCTAAACCTAAAATTTGTAGTATTTCGGAAATTTGTTTGATAAATTTAAAACCGAAAAATATTGTGTTTTATCCTATACATATTTTGATAAAGAAACTTACATGTAGGAAAGTACACGAAATGTTTCATTATACTAAGCAACAGTGCAACACCGCATAAAAAGAAAAAAAAACGATATAACTCCGATACAGTCCATACGTTTCTATTTTGGATAATTCAAAGCATAACTATGAAAAAAAAACTATCCAATCTATAATGATATATCGATCTCAACTGGATATTTGTGAAGACAATCTTCCCAAGGATTATTAGTTGAAGGCTTAACGTTACGCAGAGCAACCCAAACAGAACTATTACACTTAAACCCTGACCCCAATGCAATCTGCCAAATCCTATCTCCTTTCTTCATCCTTCCTTTAGCTTCAGTGTAAGCCAACTCGTACCAAATAGAACTCGATGATGTATTACCAAACCTATGTAATGTCATCCTCGATGCTTCCACATGTAACGGAGATAGATGAAGATTCTTCTCAAGTTCATCTATAAGCGCTCTACCACCCGCATGGATACAAAAATGCTCGAAAGCTAGCTTGAAATCTGGCATGTAATGCTTGATCTTGGGGTTGAAAAACTTCTTTCTAACAAACGTTACAAAGAAGCGAAGCTTCTCACGTATGGGAAGAACAAGTGGACCCAACGTTGCGATGTTAATCTTTAACGTTCTTGCAGCTACCATAGGTAAATCCTTTGACAAGGAAACTCCTACTAAACCATCTTCATCATCTTCTTGTGTAGCGCATCCATAGGATCTGTCATCTGACCCGGTATGGACCCTAACCGTGTGGACAAGCTTGTATTTAGCTCGTTTACGGTCTTTAGAGATGTTGGAAAGCAAAACCGCAGCCCCACCTACCCGGAACAAACAGTTTGTAACCAACATTGATTTGTTGTTACCTAAGTACAAGTTCTGAGTGATGTTCTCGGTGCTGACCACTAGAGCATAAGTGTTTCTATGAACTTGTAACAAACTCTTAGCGACATCTATAGCGATGACGCCAGCACTACACCCCATCCCACCAAGATTCAAACTCTTTATATTATCCCTAAGTTTATATTTGTTAACAATAATAGTAGCTAACGAAGGAGTAGGATTAAAAGTGCTAGAGTTAACCACTAATATACCTATCTCACTTGGGCTAACTCCAGTGTTACGGAGAACATTATCGACCGCTCCTAGTATAACGTCTGTGGTCTCTTTACGTGACCCGGCCATGGTCTGTTCTAACGGCAAGCAATGTAGACCTTCAGGTATGTAAGTCTCTTGGCCTAGACCGGACCGTTCTAGAATCTTTTCGACAAAGTCCATCAAGTAATCATGCTCTCCTGTCTTCGCCCACATGCCTTGCTCGCGTATAACTCTTACGTGGCTCATGATCTTCTTGACGCTGACTTTGAGATGAGACGGTGGGAGGTAGCAGCTGAAGTCAACTAGGTAAACGGGTTTTGGTCGGTTCATAATGTAAAGTATCCAGCCGAGAATGAGAGAGATTGAGAACATGGTTACGGATGTGAAGTTTTTTTCTAGGTAGAGGTAAAAGATTTGGAGATCTTGTGTGGAGAGACGAGAAGCTTTCATGGCTATAATAGCTATTATTGGGATGAAACAGAGCTTCATTGGGGGATACATTTTAGTGATATGTAGATGATATATCGCCCGTTTTGACTTTTAACTCTTTGGTGTGGTCTTTGTTCGTTCTGACTCGTATGACATTTATAGAGCTTGATAGAGTAAAGAGAGTGGACAATACAATAGTAAGAAGAGAGATAGAGAGAGAGAGTTTGCATGCAGTTAATGTAAAATATATATAAATATGCAGACACGTTAAAGTTTTCCTCGTGATAGTGTGTTTTTTGGATAACGACCTAACGTTTTTCATTCAGTTTTTGTAGTCTACTAGTCTTTGCTTGAAAAATTGGATATTTCCAGGCTGCTTCGTTTGGTAAGCAAGTATGCATTATTAATGTTAATCTGTCTAAATTTCTGACCTATTTACCGAACCATAAGGAAGCCTATATGCTTATTGAAAAGTCAAATATACTATATGGTCGGAAACACTATGCTGCTAGTCTTGTAAAATCACTCTCAATAGTGGAGAATGATGAAACGTGTACGTGTTGATTGAGGAGAGGATAGATGCACGCACGAAGATACTTTTGGCCAATGGTATCATATCGATCACGTAACTCTCAGACATTGATCATTGTCTAAGATTGGCCACTTTAACTAGAAAGACATGACATCAACAACTCATGGTAACTACTATTTCAAAAGTTCATACATAATATTTAAGTTTTGGTAATTTGAATGTTCACTAAGCTAGTTGAGTGAATAAAACAGATTTAAATCTTCTCGCTGCATAACCAACCATGATTATAATGTATCAAAACATGTATGTTAACTTAAGCTTTAATCCATGTGCATCTTTTCAAATATAAAAGCGTTTTTTACACAACCCTCAAGGTAGTAAATGCGATTAAACAAACAACCACCTATCTTTTTTACTCACGTCCGTAAAATAAGCATCCCTTTGCTTCAGAGTTCAGAAAACTAAGATATTGTCAGGTGACAAGCGTTTTACCTCTTTTTAGTTTTTTGTATTGTTATTTATTTACGCCAAATTTTGTTTTAGTACTTCACATATTGACATCTCAGAACCTTATCAAAATCTATCAGTTTTTTTTTTTGGTATAATTTTAGTAGAGAAAAAAATACACTTCAGGCAAAACATGACATTAAATGTTATTTTATCTACTAAATGGCTAAATATTGAATTGGATTGAGTGGAGAGAAGTAGATACAAGTCATTTATTTGGAATAACTGTATTCATATCATTTGCTCTCACAATTTAAAGCGGAGGAATGGTGCGCAGATCTCAATGTTGAAGTAGATACGGTTGGGCAGAACCATATTTACGAGTTGCTCAAATTAAACTACACAATTTATGTTTGATAAAGACTGGGAGTGTGACGTGCCAGACAAAAGCATGGTCCGGTTAAAATATTTATTTATCCTATTCCTAACTTAAAACTTTTTTTCTTTCAAATCTCCACCATATCTGGAGTTCAATCGAGTTTCCCATAACACTTGACAGTTCTTATCATTAATGCATACCCATGTTTCAAAATTTTGATTAACCGCTAACTGAGGGTTTGGACTTTGGAGTAGACTCAGAGATTATTTGGGAGTAGTTCGGATATGTATTTTCTACGTTTAACATTAAATCAAGGTAGTTAAAGAGATGATGTTATTTAACCATTATTCATTTATTTATTTCTGCTTTCTATAGAAGTTAAAATATGTTGTCCGACACCGATTCATCGTTGTAATAAAACTTAATTAACCAAACGTCTATTATACACAAAATCATGGACATGTGAAGTTTTTTTGGGGAGAAATTTGAGTTATTCGATGACAGTACACAGTTGATGTGGACATCTGGAGAACATCGAGGGATTGACCCAAGTGGTCTCTGTGGTAGTTCGGTGTGACCATGTTAATTTAATGCAAGGTTTTGTTGTGATGAATCCACCACAATTAAGTGACCTGTGGATGTGGTAATGCCATGAGCCTTTTTAGGAGATTTTCAACTAAAGCATTAAAAATTTAAAACTAAATATGAATCCAAATAAGCACTTTCCATTATATTGATTTCCCATAGCTTTAGCGTTCAACAACATTGGACACTGATGCAGTATAGTTTTTGAGTTCAGAATCTGATAATATCATTTGCTAGTATAAGGCATCTCCAACCCAACTCTATTTTTTAGTTCAAAATAGAGTAAAAATGATTATGAAGTAAAAAATGGTCTAACCTTACTCCATAATGAGATGTACACCATAAATCGAATAATCTATTTTTTCTTTGCTTACTACTCTGAGTGAAGTTGGAATATTTTTATTCCATAATTATTTTAAATGGAAGAAAAAATAGACTTTTATATTGGAGATGTTCTAAATAAATAACTAACTATGCTCAGATATGGATTATTAATCAATACTACTATGTACTATGTTATAATTTTCAAATGCAACTATGCCTTAGTGGGAGGTAATATTTTTATTCATACCGTAATCTTTACATTGATCTAATTTCATCATGGAAATATTCAACTTTCTCAGTTGTAAGAATTTCAGCAATTTCAGTGACAGTAACATGTGATCATGAGTCATTAGAGAAACCAAAGAAAGCCAAAATGGCACCAAATATGTCTGAAGAGAGCAAAGCCTTAAGCACCCTCTTCTTTTCGGGTGTGTAAGGAGGGTATCTAAGATCCGAGTCACCATCAAAGCTCCTGTATAGAACTCCTTTCTTATGGCTAAACGTCTCATACGAGAATTTACCATGGTAAGCCCCGATCCCACTCTCCCCAACTCCTCCAAACGGTAAATCTTTCAAAGTCACCTGCAGTGAAAACAAGACCATCTTTAAGTGAGAGCTGGCATCTTATTTTGTATGGTTGGGAAAAACATTCTCTCTTACATGTAAGACGGTTTCATTGATGCCCATTCCTCCTGCAGATACGTTCTGCACGAATTGGTTCTGCAACTCTTTGTTATCTGTGAAGAGATACGCAGCTAAAGGCTTTGGCTTTGACCTTATAACCTGAAACCCATCTTCAATCTTTGATACGGTTATTACAGGAAGTAATGGTCCAAATATCTCTTCCTGCATCATTGAAGATCCCTCCGGCACATCAACTAGTATCGTTGGAGATATTTTTCTGTCAAGAAAACACAGTGAGTGATAAGTTTGTTTTATCCACATGATGAAACAGTATTTATTTACTCACAGCTTATCTTCCATTGTTTGGCCTCCATGAACAATTTTGTTAGCAACTCCATTCTCTTTCATCATACTCTCCAAGCGTTTGAAGTGGAAAGAGTTCACTATCCGTGACACATCCTTGGACTCTAATGGATTCTCCCCAAAGAATGTCTTCAGTTCAGTCTTCAGAGCATCTATCTGTACTGCTTGGTTTGCATCAGCAAGCTTTGAGAGAACAAATAAGAGTATAGTTAAATTTTTTTACCAATTTTGGTGCAAAATCTTTAGTTGTGATCACGTAGTCAACACCAATGCAAGCTTGTCCATTGTTACAAGCCCATTTCCCTGTTATGATCCTCCTAGCAGCAACCTTCAATCACAAACAACACCGTGTTTTTAGAGTTATGTAATAACAAGAATTTATGCTTTAGAAGTTAGAAGCTGATCTTAACTTGTAGGTTAACATTTGAATCAACAAGAGCTGGACACTTCCCACCAAGTTCTAGGACTACTGGTGTAAGGTTTTTCGCAGCTGCAGACATTACAATGCGACCAACTCTTGCTCCACCAGTGAAGAATATCTTGTCCCATTTCTGATCAAGTAATGCCGTTGTTTCAGGGACTCCGCCTTCAACTACTCTGATTGTTGTTTTGTCCAAGTATTCACTAAACAGCTTTGCTAAGAGAGAAGATGTTGCTGGAGCAATTTCTGAAGGTTTCAGCACAACAGCATTACCAGCTGATATAGCTCCAATGACCGGCTCTACAGACAACACTGTAAGCAATAAAAAAACACCACGAAGACATGAAAACTTATTAATGTGTTTGGTCAGACAAAGTTTCAAAATTTCAAAAGCAAGTTTGAGCTTACAGAAAGGGAAATTCCAGGCTGAGATAACCAGAACAACTCCAAGTGGCTCTGAGAATATTTGTGCAGATGAAGGGAATGTTGTCACCGAAGTTTTAACCTGAAAGGACCAAAGCATAGATCAGGCAAGTTGTTCAGATTCACAGCAACGCTTGAACAGTTAATAGTTACCGTTTCAGGAGCCATCCAGTTCTTCAACTCTTTGATTGCAAGCATACATGATGACTTTGTATTGGAAATCTGATAAAACAAGAAAACACCAGAGTGATTTAACAATAGATAAATTGAATGTGGACAAGGAAAGGGGCACTGAAGTTAACCTCAGCTAGAAAAGCTTCAAGCTCAGGTTTGGAAAGATCTTGATACAAAGCTTCGGTGATGCACTTCTCCTGCTCGTCAATCATTTTGGCAATGTTCTGAAGCTGAGAGATTCTCCATTCGTAGCTCCTTGTTCTGCCGGTGTTGAAGTTGGTTCTGAGCTCATCTACAAGCAAAGCTGCTTGTTTCCCATCAAAAGCTGATTCTTGCGTCTTTTCCACAGCAGATAGTGTTGCATAGCAAGTACTACTGACTCCATAGACCAAAAAGACCCAACATAAGAGACTAAAAGGTAATTTGCATAATGGTTCCACTATTGTTCTCACAGCATACTTACTACTGTTTCTCTAACTTAAAATCCACTTTACTAAACAGAAAATCTAATAATCGTTGCATAGTAAAAAGGGTCCTCACAGTTTAAAGCGGGAAGGGATGCAAGTTCTGCTGCAATATCCACCAGAAAAATGAAAAGGTGAAGCTGCCAATGCCAAGGAAGCAACATTTAATCTGCAACAAGAGAATACAAATAAGAAAGACATTCTCTTTTAGACAGAAAATGAAAAACCCATAACAAAATTGTCGGAAAGAGACAGACTTTGCATCGAGAACAACATATCCAAAGAAGTCTCAATTCCTCTGTTTCCATCAGCAAGTTTCAAAGTAGCCAAAAGCTTTATAAATTAGAAGAAGAGTGAGAGATAAATGTCAAAC